TTAGACATGTATTCGGGGCTGGCAGTGAACTCCAGCCCTTTTCTGAATGTGGACATCCCGAAGTCAATGAAACGAACATCGAAACCATCTAGATCCACCAGGATGTTGTCAGCTTTAACATCATTATGGATAACGTGGCAGCTGTGGATGTTATATAGCGCCTTGCTGATATTTAAGCAAATTGTTATCCATGAATGAGCTGACAAATCACCATGGCTTTTCAAGATGGTCTCGATGCTTCCCGATCCGAAAAACTCCTGCACCAGCGAAAAGTCATTCTCGTCGATGGTTGATGCCATGATCCCATGAAAGGTTGGTGTTACTTCCTTTCCTTGTAACAGGGTTACGATCCGAGCTTCATGTTCAACAAATTCCCAGCAGACGCTTTCAATGAAGAAATCTTTTACAACAATCTGCTTTGATGTTTTTAGCAAGCGTCCTAGATACACCACACCATAACTACCTCTCCCGATCTCTTTAAACGATTCATCTTCGTTCTTGGAAAACACGATGTCCTTTGATCGGATGGAGGGCACAAAAACCGAATCCAAGTCTTCAGGTAGATCAATTGAAGCTTCATATCCAGATGGTAAGAAGGGTGAATGTCGTGGGTCGTATCCGAACATGTCCATCATGACATCTTGGTTCATGCTGAAGTTCCCAAAGCTGTCAATATATACCAGACTGGCGATGTCAAAGTTTTCTTTCAAACTACCGTTCAAAAGATTGTCCTCTACGATGGCATCATCTTCTTGCTGACGACTTTCTGCCTCTGTCTTCTTGACAAAATATGCTGGATCTAGTAAAGTAGCTGAACTAGTTAGTTGAACTGTAGGTTCAACACCAAGTACAAAATCTAACCTTGCTTTACGTATTTTGTGTGAAAAAGCGATACTCATCATCGGTACTGGGCAGCTGTGTTGCATCCTATTTGGTATGTCGGAAGCTCTTCCAGAAAGTGTAGCCGAATGATTTTCAAACTGTAAGTAAGACCTAAACACATTCTTAAAATAAATCACGCTGGAAAATGATGTCACTTCTCCAGCTGCGGAATTGATGGCCCGTTTTGTTCGACCTCTTATATTTGTGTTTAAGGAGCAAGCCCCACTCTCTGGTGATGTTGACCTCTTTGTCATGTTTAAATTGATGGTGGTTAACGGACCTGGAACCTGTGAAGAAACATCTTGGACATCTTGTGTTGTTTGGACTTGACATGATTTAACCACAGTTTCATATTGAGTCGCGTTTGCAATAAGAGTTGGTGCAACTTGAACAAAGGCTTCCGTGTATTCTGGTACAGCTTGGACAGATGTACTAGTTAATTGTGGTGCAGTTTGGACAAAGGCTTCCATGCATCCTGGTACAGCTTGAACTGAAGTACTAGTTAATTGTGATTCAGCTTGAACAAAGGCTTCCACGCATTCTGGTACAGCTTGAACTGATGTACTGATTAATTGTGGTGCAGCTTGTGTGATAGCATCTGTGCTCTCTGGTGTAACTGTTTGGCACCCAAAAGTGGTTTGATAACTTTCAGTCTGACAGATCATATCACGGTACATAACTGGATCAGCAGTTTGAGTTGCCATGGAGGGTGGGAACAAATCATCGATAATTTCTTTATGTTGTCCAATATTTTCCAGCAATGTCCTGGTATTAATCTTTGATTTCTCTCCATTTTTCTTGGTAACAAGAACTTCTATTTTTATATTATGGTTATTGTTAAGGAGTTTTGATAGGAGTATTTCCAGATCGCTGATGGTAGCATGGTCATCGGTTTGTGTAGAAGCTGTAGTAGTCTTAGGTTTATGAGTTTTCAATGGAATAAGGCAAAATCTTTCTTGGCGTTCACATCCTTTTAACCAAACAGATTTTAAGGGATCGGTCTGACCATTTTCTTGTTTCCATGATTCTTCTCCCGTAAATCTATACCCACCAACGATATTCCTGGAAGATAAAAAAACAAAAAGAGATTGAGTTACTAGTTCTTTTATTTATAAACTTCTGATCTGAACATTCAAGCTTCACATTGCATTAATAGAATTTGGTCTTATTTAATCTAGCTATAGCGATGGGGCCTACATCAAATGTTGAATTTATCTAGACTTATTTTATAAAAAAAAATGTTTAATTTTCCCGGGACCATCATTAAGTAATGACATCTGATCTGTGTGACATACAACTTCCCCTTAATTAAAGTAGCATTATTAATGTGCCAGATATTTAATTATCGTTGTGAGTTGTTCAAATTTTAGAAACTATAATTTTACCTTTGAAAATCACGACCCGCTATTTTCAGTGAAACTCTTTGAGTATTCAATAGGCGTAATTCTTGCTTACAAAGCTGCAATGAATAAAATAAAATAATCCATTCCATTATTATCATTACATTTTTACACATTATTATACCGGTACTCATGACCTAGGCTAATTAATTATTTGGTTTTTCGTTATCTTGTCGTTACCGAATCAAAAATCTACGGCGACTGCCAATCGGGTATAGGCTACAGTTTAGTTACATTCGATTTTTGGGTACGATCTTATTTAAAAGAACATTTTGTCAGAGGTCCAATTCTAAAGCTACATGGACTCTATACCGATCTAGGCCCAATCAATGAATCATCTAGGCCTAGTGTTAATCAACCTCCAACTCCAAGGATGAATGACTCAATCATCAATGAGTCAATGAATGAGTGACGACAAACACTGTTTCATTTGTTTTCACATTTAACCTGTGTTAATGTTAGGCCTAGAGTGTGGTAATTAAACTTGTAAGGTAGAAAAGTCCTGACCAGGCCTAGACGGCTTCATATTTTGTTGTACATGAAATGACGAACTTACCTCAAGAGCAGAAGAAAAGAATTTGTAAAATAATGATCGTCTTCCTTCACTGGCTTCACTTGCCAAATCATTCTGCTGCGAATCAGATTGAATAATGTTGGCGATGATGTTCTTATCTTTCGGTTTACTTACGCTGTGATCAAATGTTTCCGCGGATAACATAATCATCTTTAAAGTATTGAAACTCTCCAAGATAACTTTGGAAAAGGACAATGATTTCAAAGAGGTTCACACCAATGGCGAAAATCTCCTTGACTTCTAAAATCTCCTAGGATTTTGTAGCTAGGCCGTGACGTTGCCAAGGCCTGACGTCATCATATTCAATTATGACGTTCTCTCATTCTCCCAAGCAGAGTTGTGTTCCCTTGTAGTTCACACGGATGCACGATTGTAAGACTTGCCTGAGAGAATATTGTTTTTTTCTCCCATCAATCCCTTCATTAAAAAACATCTATTATGGGCTATGTGTAGCTACCAGATTTAATCATCTTGATATTTTTATATTTGACTATGTTAACTATGTTAGATCCATGTCCATTTGATAGACCTAACCTTCTGTAAGAATCCAAGTTATGATTTTGTATTGTTTATTGTTAAGTTGAATGCAACTTCCTGTTTAAAACATGAGGTTGACATTTTTGATAAAGTTAGTCTTTAATTGCCTGCATTGTGGCAAGAGAGCGGTTTTTAAAGTGTATGAAAACCGCCTGTTAGCGATTGTTAAAGCTACATAATGTTTCTCTTGCATTAATTCGACGTGTGTGCTACATGGTTAGACGGCGTGTGTAATTAATCAGAGGGCAGCGTGTTTTCAACTTTATACCAATACCAATTACCATGCCGTTTTGTAACCTTTTTTAATGTGTGAACTTTACCTTTGTTATGGGAATTTGTTTGCATGATAATATTAATAAACTTTCTGATATTTTGAACTGATTATTCTTTTATATCTAATGTGACGGTATTCACACTATTTCAATTTTTATTGTTTCTAGATTTCCATGTAAGTTGAAAATATTAAGGAATCATCTGCGTATTGATAGGTGATTTTCAAAATAGTCTAACTGCATGCTTCGGGCAATTTTCGTCTCCTTTTTTCTTTTATTTGGTGTCCTATGTCCAGCCCCCGGATCGCAACCCATTTCCCCACAAGAATTAAAATAAATAAATATAAATATCGGATCATCAATTTCAGAAGGTATTTAACTAAGAGTACAGGGGCCTACATGTTGACTATAGTTTGGTTGTTGGACTTTCTTATACACGCAGTTCGGGACAGAATGTCCAGAAATCCGACTGCGTAGGCAGGCTATATACTTATTTCTTCAGGTTAATATCTTCCAACATTCTACCAGACAAGACGATTATCCATTTCATGATTAAATCATGAATGAAAGTTGAGCAGCAAATCATATCCTAATCCAATAAATATCGCAGGCTAGCGATGGCATCGAGGGTTGATTATGGTCTGGATCAGTTAATTAATGTCTAATTTATATTTTAGATAACATTTCAGGCCAAAAGAAAGACCTGCAATAGGCAGATTTAGCTCTTGTATAATGTATATTTAAATAATCAATTTGAGTTCATTATAGCGTGGATTAGAATCTCCTTAAATACTAAAATTTGAGTTCATTATAGCGTGGATTAGAATCTCCTTCGGTGTTAAAAATCAATTTCAGTTAATTATAAAGTGGTTTACAATGTTAAAAATAAATTTGAGTTAATTATAAAGTTGATTAAGGCGTTGAAAATTTGATATTGACCGAAAAATACTAATGACAATAAGCGGCTTTATGTTTTAGAATATTGTCCCCTAATTAGATACAAATTTAAATACTTCTTTTGTTTTTGTCTTATTTAAATTTAATTGTGAAATACTGATATGTCATGAACTTTGACCTATGAGTCTTGGCTTCCTGAATATTACGTATTAATATATAATACCTATATTAGATCAAGGTGTGGGATAATATAAACAAATTTTACGAATCAGGATGTCTTTAAAAAAAAAACAACATTTTTTTAACGTTGTAAACTAAACTGACATGCATTTGAATATTTGACAGTTTTATTTGCTAGACTTCTAACATCAACAAATTGTTAAATATATCTTATGTGTATATAAGCCAGTCATATTCAGTTTTTATTCATTGTTACAGTGTCTTGGACCAGGGCTTGTTGTAATAAGTAAACAGTCTACTTTCACGTTTGTCTGAACCTCCTGACTTTCGTATATTTCAAAGACCTTTAGAGTAAGTTTTATTTTTCTATAATTTCCGTTGACTTCTTTCTGTGTTTTTGTAAATATCAATTTAACGACTATTGGGGGGTTTACGTCCGCTTTCAACTAGAGTGATATTGAGACTAGAAAATATAAACGCTGTATATAGAGAGAGAAGTGGGGTTTAACGTCCAATCGACACAAACTAGGTCATTTCGGGACTAACATATGGTTTTAACTTTATTTCAATAATTCGCTTACCGTAAGGGTCTTTACCAGTGGGAGGAAACCGGAGGACCCGGAGAAAACCCACGAGGTTAGACAGGCGACCCTACTCCTTGTCACGTACAACCGGGATTTCGAAACCAAAACGTTGTATAAATTCTCTATATTTCATTCTACCACCCGATACCACTTATTATATTATTGTATGAATAATAATATATATATATCTAGTAAACAAGAGTATAATTCCTTCATGCGCCCCTTGGAACAATTTTAAATAAACAAAATAAGAAATAAAGTTCATTGATGACTGTTTTAATCAATCGATATAGTGTTTAATGATATTATAAATACTAGGTATACATCTATATAAACAAGGATATATTGTATAAATAATAATAAATGATAGTGTATCTATAACGATATTATATAATAATATGGTAAACTAGATATACATATAATTTATATAAACAAGGGTATATTGTATAAATAATAATAAATGATATTTTTAGTGATATCTATAACGATATCATAAATAACATATTGTAAACTATATAAGGTAAATGTATATAAACAAGAGTATATATATAATAATTAATGATATCAAAATAGAAATAAAGGTCTAGGGGCATGTTTCACGAAATTTTAACTAAGATAAAATCCAAATTTTAGTAATTTGATTGGATAATATTACTATGATTTTAGGGCATAGCCAATCAAAATTGAAGTATCTACTAAAATTTGGATTATATCTTTATAGATTTCGAGAAACAGGGTCCAGGAGAATATTTTGTAAAAGATAAAATATCACATGTAGAATATATCTTCCGTTAGTTCTGATAAGTACAATATAATAATTATTTAAATACATTAACCAAATATACACCATTTCTATGTTATATTTCTTATCCATGATTTATCTTGTTTTTAAAAAAATAATTCTAACAGAAGATGACGTCATGTTATATAAATTACTTTTCAAGCATATAAAATATAAATACGATGTTTATAATTTTCTAGTTCTCGAGGATTTTTTGTAGCTGGACAATATTTTCAATTTTATTGACAACAATATTTTGACCATTAAAACTTCTGCAATAATCCAACATTTCGTTTCATCCTAGATTATCACCATTTCTTTAATAATTGTCTCAGAAAGAACTTAGTATTTTATTGAAAACAGTGTAAATTAGATTGGTCATATATAATAATTTATAACCCAACATTACTTTATTAATGAATAACTTTAGTTTATCTAGGGTTGGACAATAATTTCATCAATATATATATATATATATATATATATATATTATCAACGGTGTTTTTTTACGTACACACCGGATCTCAGTTTTTCGCCCCAAACGAACAACAATACGTTGTTCCTTGCCAGGTCCTCCGTCCTACACCACTGACGCGCCTGAACCACGCTGGAAAATCTCGATAAACTTTCTCGGCTAACGCAGGAATTGAACATGGATCACTCCAGGTTAGCGAGTCAACGTAACCAAACTTTCTTGGCTAACGCAGAGATTGAACATGGAACACTTCAGGTTAGCGAGTCAACATCGTACTCACTGAGCCACTGTGGATACCCATGCATTGAAGGATCGACAGGACAAAAGTGAAGGAACTATTTTTGTTATAGTGGCTGACTCGGTATATTATAACTATCGGCTAACACGACTTAAATTGTATAAACGATGCACAACTATCGACTAACCCGACTTAAATTGTATAAAAGATACAAATCTATCGGCTAACATGACTTAAATTGTATAAAAGATACAAATCTATCGGCTAACATGACTTAAATTGTATAAAAGATACAAATCTATCGGCTAACATGACTTAAATTGTATAAAAGATACAAATCTATCGGCTAACATGACTTAAATTGTATAAAAGATACAAATCTATCGGCTAACATGACTTAAATTGTATAAAAGATACAAATCTATCGGCTAGCATGACTTAAATTGTATAAAAGATACACAACTATCGGCTAAAAGTACTTCAATTGTATAAAAGATACACAACTATCGTCTAACCTTAATTATAGAGTATAAAAGATACACAGCTATCGGCTAACATCACTTTTAAAAAAATCTATCGGCTAACCTTACTTAAATTGTAAAAAAGAAACAAATCTATTGGCTAATCTTACTTAAATTGTACTAAAGATATATATCTATCGGCTAACATGACTTAAAAGCAAAACTATCGGCTAACATTACTTAAATTGTAAATAGAGACAAATCTATCAGCTAATCTTACATAAAATATGCACATAATAGATGCCAATCTATCCGCTAATCTCACTTAAAAGTGTACATAAAAGATACAAAACTGTACAGTTAACACCACTTTCAGAGAATCCAGATTAACTTCCTATTGACGGAAAAGGTGTTAACCTACACTAATACGGTATATTCCAAAAAATTAGTTGGTCGAGTTCCCGTATTTTCTTTCATATATCGCAATATATTCCATAACTGATCCTGACATAGCTATAGATAAAAGTATACAACACATTTATTATTTATTTTGTAATTAGTAATTAGTAATCAGCCAACTATATCTAGCCAGTAATTAGTAAATACCACCAACCAAGTAGATCTAGCCAGTATTCAGAAGAAAACATAGAGTACTGACCATTTGAATAAGTCACTGCAGATATGACAATATACCAATTTAAAAATACAAAGCTTAAGTCTATAATATAAACAGATAGAACAACCAGAAGCCACTTTTCATTTACTAGTAGTATACCGATGACAATAAATTTTATATATCACCAATCGAAACATGATAATAATAAACTCAGAAATTTGGATTCCATTTCTGCATTTCACGGTTTAGGACAATTTTCAATTACATACATTTACAAATATTTTAACTAGAATATAAATTTAGGCTGCAAATTGGATTGTAATTTTTCTAAGGTAGCTATGATGTGTGGTAATCTTGGTCTGGACAGAGCCCGGACGCTGGTGCAGGTTCTCCAGAGGGGCCTTAATTGGACGACTTTAGCTTGGGCCATAATTTGTCCAAATAAAAAACCCAAGCTGAAGACGTCCGACTGTGGAGTCGTGTGGCAGTTCTCACGGACTTCGGGAGCCATGAATTGAAATTTAGACATGTATTCGGGGCTGGCAGTAAACTCCAGGCCTTTTCTGAATGTGGACATCCCGAAGTCAATGAAACGAACATCGAAACCATCTAGATCCACCAGGATGTTGTCAGCTTTAACATCATTATGGATAACGTGGCAGCTGTGGATGTTATATAGCGCCTTGCTGATATTTAAGCAAATTGTTATCCATGAATGAGCTGACAGATCACCATGGCTTTTCAAGATGGTCTCGATGCTTCCCGATCCGAAAAACTCCTGCACCAGCGAAAAGTCATTCTCATCGATGGTTGATGTCATGATTCCATGAAAGGTTGGCGTTACTCCCTTTCCGTGTAACAGGGTTACGATCCGAGCTTCATGTTCAACAAATTCCCAGCAGACGTTTACGTTGAAGAAATCTTTTACAACAATCTGCTTTGATGTTTTTAGCAAGCGTCCTAGATACACCACACCATAACTACCTCTCCCGATCTCTTTAAACGATTCGTCTTCGTTCTTGGTAAACACGATGTCCTTTGATCGGATGGAGGGCACAAAAACAGAATCCAAGTCTTCAGGTAAATCATTTGAAGCTTTATATCCAGATGGTAAGAAGGGCGAATGTCTTGGGTCGTATCCGAACATGTCCATCATGACATCTTGGTTCATGCTGAAATTCCCCAAACTGTCAATATATACCAGACTGGCGATATCAAAGTTTTCTTTCAAACTACCGTTCAATAGATTGTCCTCTACGATGGCATCTTCTTCTTGCTGACGACTTTCTTCCTCGGTCTTCTTGACAAAATATGCTGGATCTAGTAAAGTAGCTGAACTAGTTAGTTGAACTGTAGGTTCAACACCAAGTACAAAATATAACCTTGCTTTACGTATTTTGTGTGAAAAAGCGATACTCATCATCGGTACTGGGCAGCTGTGTTGCATCCTATTTGGTATGTCGGAAGCTCTTCCAGAAAGTGTAGCCGAATGATTTTCAAGCTGTAAGTAAGACCTAAACACATTCTTAAAATAAATCACGCTGGAAAATGATGTCACTTCTCCAGCTGCGGAATTGATGGCCCGTTTTGTTCGACCTCTTATATTTGTGTTTAAGGAGCAAGCTCCACTCTCTGGTGATGTTGACTTCTTTGTCATGTTTAAATTGTTGGTGGTTAACGGACCTGGAACCTGTGAAGAAACATCTTGGACATCTTGTGTTGTTTGGACTTGACATGATTTAACCACAGTTTCATATTGAGTCGCGTTTGCAATAAGAGTTGGTGCAACTTGAACAAAGGCTTCCGTGTATTCTGGTACAGCTTGGACAGATGTACTAGTTAATTGTGGTGCAGTTTGGACAAAGGCTTCCATGCATCCTGGTACAGCTTGAACTGAAGTACTAGTTAATTGTGATTCAGCTTGAACAAAGGCTTCCACGCATTCTGGTACAGCTTGAACTGATGTACTGATTAATTGTGGTGCAGCTTGTGTGATAGCATCTGTGCTCTCTGGTGTAACTGTCTGGCACCCAAAAGTGGTTTGATAACTTTCAGTCTGACAGATCATATCACGGTACATAACTGGATCAACAGTTTGAGTTGCCATGGATGGTGGGAACAAATCATCGATAATTTCTTTATGTTGTCTAATATTTTCCAGCAACGTCCTGGTATTAATCTTTGATTTCTCTCCATTTTTCTTGGTAACAAGAACTTCTATTTTTATATTATGGTTATTGTTAAGGAGTTTTGATAGTAGTATTTCCAGATCGCTGATGGTAGCATGGTCATCGGTTTGTGTACAAGCTGTAGTAGTCTTAGGTTTATGAGTTTTCAATGGAATAAGGCAAAATTTTTGTTGGGGTTCACATCCTTTTAACCAAACAGATTTTAAGGGATCGGTCAGACCATTTCCTTGTTTCCATGATTCTTCCTCCGTAAAATTATACCCACCAACGATATTCCTGGAAGATAAAAAACAAAAAGAGATTGAGTTACTAGTTCTTTTATTTATACACTTCTGATCTGAACATTCAAGTTTCACATTACATTAATAGCATTTTGTCTTATTTAATCTAGCTAAAGCGATGGGGCCTACATCAAATGTTGCATCTATCTAGACTTATTTTATAAAAAAAATGTTAAATTTTCCCGGGACCATCATTAAGTAATGACATCTGATTTGTGTGTCATACTTACTTCCCCTTAATAGTTAATTACATTAGCATTATTATCGTTGTGAGTTGTTCGAATTTTAGAAACTATAATTTTACCTTTGAAAATCACGACCCGCTATTTTCAGTGAGACTCTTCGAGTATTTAATAGTCGTAATTCTTGCTTACAAAGCTGCAATGAATAAAATAAAACAATCCATTATATGAGAGGACTTCACTTTTCGCGGGTGCACTAGTCCGCCGCTATAAGAAATATTACTATCAATATATGGGTATCAATAAACCTAACCCTAACCCAAATCTAACCCTAATAATAGATATCGATGGACTAATGAACCCTAACCCAACCCTAGTGAGCGGACTAGTGAGCATTTCCCATTATTATGATTACCATTATTTAACGACTACACAGTTTTACACATTATTTACATTATAACTTTTAAGTTAATATTAATAATGTAGGCCTAGGCTAATTAATTGTTTGGTTTTCGTTAGCCTATAATAAATCTTGTCGTTACCGTAGCCTAGGACTATTACGACTGGCAGTAGGAGAGGAGAGGTAGTAAAAATCTACGCCGTGCAACTACTGTCAATCGGGTATCAGTTTAGCAGTTTTACATTCGATTTGGGCCTGATCTTATATTTAAAAGAACGTGTTGTCACAGGTCAAATTAAGCTAGGTCTACGTCTCTAGGCCTAATCATCCTGTCAATCAAACTCCAAAGACAAACATTATTATTTTCATATTATTACCTAGAGTGTAACTAAACTTGTTGTATGTAAGGTAGCAAAGTCCTGACTAGGCCTAGACTGACGGCTTCATTCTTCATATTTTGTTGTGCATGAAATGACGAACTTACCTCAAGAGCAGATGAAAAGAACTTGTGAAATAATGATCGTCTTCCTTCACTGGCTTCAGTTGCCAAATCATTTTGCTGAGAATCAGATGGATTATTCGGATGAATAATGTTGGCGATGCTGTTGTTATCTTCCGGTTTACTTACGCTGTGATCAAACGTTTCCGCGGATAACATAACCATCTTTAAAGTATTGAAATTCTCCAAGATAACTTTGGAAAAGGCAATGATATCAAAGAGCTAAAGAGATGCACACTAATCTCCTTGACTTCTAAAATCTCCAAGGATTTTGTAGCTAGGCCGTGACGTTGTCAAGGCCTGGCGTCACATATTCAATTATGACGTCATTTTATTATTTCTCGCATTCTCCCAAGCAGAGTTGTCTTCCCTTGCAGTTCACACACTTGCATGGGGTTTATTTTCTCCGCCCATCCCTTCATTAAAAAAACATCTATTGTTGGCTATGTCAATTCTTATTGTTTCTAGATTTCAATGTAAGGCGAGAATAAGAAGAAGAAGGAAGAATCTGTGTATCTTTATTCGTGATTTTCAAAATAACTGCTTCGGGCAATTTTCGTCCCGTTTTTTTGTTTTTGTTTGGGGTCCTATCCCCCCGGATCTCAACCCTTTTCCCTACAAGAATTAAAATAAATAAATAAAAATATCGGAACCATCAATTTCAGAAGGCATATCTAAGAGTATAGGGGCCTACATGTTGTCTATAGTTTGGTTGTTGGACTTTCTTATACACGCAGTCGGGGCAGAATGTCCAGAAATCAGACTGCGTAGGTTATACTTATTTCTTCAGGTTACTATCTTACAACATTCTACCAGACAAGGCGATCTCCTGCACAGAACGCACAAAATAAATAAATAAAAATATCGGAACCATCAATTTCAGAAGGAATTTAACTAAGAGTACAGGGGCCTACCTGTTGTCTATAATTTGGTTGTTGGACTTTCTTATACACGAAGTCGGGGCAGAATGTCCAGAAATCCGAAGTAGGCCTATGGCATTTTAGTTTGTTTATATTCAGAAGAGCCTGTCTGCCCATTGACAAGGATTTACCAGCTATTAAATTAATAAACCGTATTTTGTAGTTATAAACTATACGTTTGTGGCGTTCAGTTATTGATTTTCGGCGATTTTGGTTTTAAAATCAATGGCTTTGGGGTTAAACACCTTCAATTGAATAATAACGCTTTTTTGTTTGTTTCTTTTATAGTTAAAACACGATTGACATCCTTAATACCTAAAGATGAAGACGACGATGGTATTTTGTTTGTTTGTAACCGTCTCCATGGTTATAGCAGATAATGGTGAGTGAACAAACTTGGTGTGTCAGTTTGAAATATAAATGATCAAAATATACTCAAAGTAATCACAAGGTCTACTTACTTCTTCATTAAAGATACATTATGTCAGAGATAAATCTGTTTATCGCAGGTCTTCATTTTGGCTTCAAATGTTATATACACTATTATTTAGACATTTATTTAATGGCAAGCCGATAATCAACTCTCTAGGCATCAGATGGCGGTTATTTTAAACGGATTGAAACACAGTTGCCATTTAATGATTTAATTTAAAAATGGATAAAGTACCGTGGTAACGACAATAAACAGTCTATGTCATGTCTTGTCAAAACTTCAAACAGTGACAAAGTCTCTCAGAAAAAAGTAATTTGAATGTAATTTTCAATATAATCATTTTGCATTATCTATTTTTGAACTATTATAACAAGAGCGGACATCTCGTTATCTAAATCTTACATAATAGTGATAATTTGAAGTATTATTATTACACATTTCTATAGCGCACAACTGCCGCATAACACATTTCTATAGCGCACAGCTGCCACATTACACATTTTTATAGCGCACAGCTGCCACATTACACATTTCTATAGCGCACAGATGCCACATTACACATTTCTATAGCGCACAGATGCCATATTACACATTTTTATAGCGCACAGCTGCCACATTACACATTTCTATTACGCACAGATGCCACATAAATGTGCTCATGTGCGCTTTACAAAGACATATTATAGAGCTGCCCCGGCAAAATCTCCCCTCATAGCACATTGAGTGACATATGCCCCTATTCATTATCCTGGTTGGTTCAGAACAGTAGAACGTTAAACCTCATTTAATTTTATTTCTTGTTTTACAGGTTACTATGTTCAAGATAATCCCAATTTGTATCAACATGAATCATATAAAGTTGCACCAATACAGAAATCCAAACACGTGGTAATCAAGCCCTGTCTGGATTATGGATTATTCGAAGATCCTAACGACTGTGGTGCTTTCTTCCAATGTTCGCCAGCAGGTTTGGTTCGTATCAAGTGTGCGAAAGGAAACCTTTACGACAGAAATATTAAAAGATGCAACTCCAAGGAATTTGTGCCGTGTTACAGCGGCGTCAGTTGTCCACGTCCATTTGGTGTTTACCCTAATCCAAGATTCTGTAACAAATTCCTGAATTGTTTCGCGAATATCCCCTACATTCAAGCTTGTCCAGCTGGTCTGGTGTTTAATGCTATTGCTCCTGGTAAAGGTTTCTGTGATTACCCTAAAAATGTCAATTGTGAAGATAACAAGATCGCTGTAATCAAAGTCCACAAACCAGTCATCGTTAAACACCCAGTCCACACCCCGGTTGAGCAACCACTCCACATCCTGGTTGTTAAACAGCAAAACGATAACAAACCTGTCATCGTTAAACACCCAGTCTCCAACCCAGTTGTACAGCCAATATACACCCCAGTTGTTAAGGAGACAGTCTACACTCCCTCTAGATACGATAGCGATGATTCCAAATAATTTCATTTGTTAATATTTTTAATTTATTAAGGAATTGTTTCTCACTCGCCGTAGCTATTACTCTACAAAATACAGCGACCATACCAAATTTTGTTATCTAAACAGTAGGACGTTGACCCCCATTTCATTTCATTTCATTTCTGAAATTTTTATCACAATGTATTTTTTCTAGTTTTATATTTGTACTCTTTAGATTACCCAGAGTTTATCGTGGAGTTTATCTCCATTTTACTAACATACAAAACAACATAATGATAATTAATTGTCAACCTACTGGATCAAGTACAAATAAATAATAGCATTAAAGATGTATATGTAAGAGCTAAATCTGCCTATTGCAGGTCTTTCTTTTTGCTTCAAATGTTATATAAACTATTATTTTTACATTATTGGCTTGTCACGAGAATAAATGTTTAAAAACATTTATTCTCGTGACAAGCCTATAATCAAAATTTGGTTATTTAAACATTTAGTCTCGTGATTCAAAATCTGGTATTTATGAAGTTATTTTAAGTTCAAGAACAAACTTTCTCTTTGACAGACAAATATTCACAGCTTTTAATGTCATCATAAATAAAACCTAAACTTTATACATGGATGTTTGCTCTGTATTTTCTGTAAAATTCTATTTTGATGTCATAATATTTAAAACTTAATTTATTATATGCATGTATGTTCACTTTGTATTTCGTCCAACGAAGTCCTGGGCTTGTGGTAGGCCCGTGGTTGTGAACATGATATCAGTGGCGGCGTCAGTCGCCGGTGGAAGGAGGGGTAAAGCTGGGGCTAAGTCCAAGGTTAAGGGGGCAAAGGCGCGAGCTTCAACAAGGGGTATGGGGGCCTTCCCCAGAAATTTGTGAAAAATTGAATGCTGGAAATGCAGTCTGGTAGTATTTCTGGCCCTGATCCTCCAGATAAATAGATCTGACCAGATACCGCCTGACGTCAAATCACTAGTTTATCCGACCAGAGAGGAAAGTGTCAAACGAATGGACTTATGAACCTCAACTTGTCGTCGAGATAAATACTGCCCTACAAAAGAGAAAGGTAGTATCTGCAAAATCGTCATTTTGAGAAAATCGACTTTAAAGTTTGTCACTTTCCTGCACTCATAGTTTTCAACAAATTAATGAGATTTTTTGAACTTAAGAAAATATTTTGGTTCTCTTTCGATATAACTTGTCGATTTTCATATATTTCTTTGTGCGACTGAGATAAAGCAGATACTGCGCATTTTATGACTCTGGACCATTTCCGGTGCCCATTGTAAAACCAAGGTGAAAAGCAGTATCTACATATACTCACTAATTGTTTCTGTGATGTACTGGCAGTTTACAAACTGCATATTTAAGCATAAATATTGTTCCAGACATTTCCATATTCAGTTGAGTCTAAACACTTGACATAATTGCTATTTTTCTCCTTAGTTATACCAGGGCAATTTACATTTACTTTCAACGCCTCGTCTTGGTGTTTCAAGGAGAACGGCAGTATCTACTCTTACTGCTTTTCTCCTTGGTTATAGCAGGGCAATTTCCATTTACTGCCATTTACTGGGTTGTCATAGGTTTAAGGAGAACGGCAGTATTACACTTACTGCGTTTCTCCTTCGTTATACCAGGGCAATTTACATTTACTGCCCAAATTGACACTATATTTCTTTGCCTAATGTAGATACAGGAATGAAAATTTTTACATGTGATAAAACAGTTACTGTTGATCACAACGATACCAAAACGTATTTTGACCAAAAGTGTAGATACTGCCTTCTTCCTTTGCATGGCAGAATAGAGCTTACCAGATATTGCCCACGTCAAATCACTAGTTTATTCGACCAGAGAGGAAAGTGTCAAACGAACGGAGTGAGTGAATCAAAGTGAATGCATATTTTCGCGACGATATTTTGAGAAATAGACTGCTGGAAATGCAGCCTGGCAGTATTTCAGACACTGGTCTCCGTGATAAACAGAGCTGACCAGATACTGTCTGTCGCCAAATCACTAGCTTATCCGAACAGAGAGGGAGATGTCAAACGAATGAACGGAGTGAGTGAATCAAAGTGAATAAATAGTCTTGCCGCGTTGAACCTATACCTCAAAACTTTGAGAATCGTAAAAAGGACTTCTCAAGTGGTTCACATGTTATTGTTTATAGTAGGTTTACAACAGGATGGGTTCGGTAAGAAATCACTCGGACCCTACAATATGCAAGATTATGACCGGTTGTAGTGAAAGGTCGCGTCAGGGGTCATACGAGCGGCTTTTGACACTATGACGTCAGACATTGATTAATCAATCAGTGTTGACGTCTCTAGTGGGTAACCCACAGATACGTGCATGACAGCCAAGATTTAGCTCCTTTAAATCAGATGTGTTGTAGGGGCGGGGATTATTTATTGGTCTACTCCATGGATCTCTTATATCTTTATAGGACATCAAAAGTTTACTGTTCACAATTCTAATTCCCACATTACCGATAACTCAATCATCTGAGGCTTGTAACCTCCACTCAAGTAATTGTGTGCTGGGGTGTGTTTATGAGTGGGGTGGGGACTGTAGAGAACCTAGAGAAAGAACATGGGTTTAGCAGTGGGAAGAAACTGGAAAACCCACAATCATCAAATCAGTAAACAAGCAGCATCAATAAAAATATACAATATTAACTGAAACTGATGGCATTTGCGTACTATAAAATGTATCAAGACCAACTGAATGATGGTATTTTCTTACCAGAGAAAGGTGGAAAATGAATGGGTGATATTGAGCATCTATTGGGGCAGGTGGAAAATGAAATTGATGGTATTTATCATCTACACGGGGAGGTGGAAAATGAAATTGATTGTATATATGATCTACACAGGCAGGTGGAAAATGAAAAGGGTGTATTGGGCCAGGTGGAAATGGGTGGAATCTATCATCTTTTGGGACAGGTAGAAAAGGGTGGAATTATTCATCTATAAGGGCAGGTGGAAAATGGGATTCATCATCTAAAGGTGTCATATTTCAAATATAAATAAATAGATGATAAAGATTTAACAATTTTATTTTCACTGCGATAAATATTTACAATACAATCATAGAATATAAACAAATAGAGTTGTCATGGTAACAATAGACAATAAACAGGGTAGAGAACTCTACATCTAATTTGTTCAAATACACTTATATATATATATATATATATATATTCTTTGAACTTCATAGTAAACTCTTCCTAATTGATTTTTACTAACTTCCCAATACCAGGTATTTTATTTTGATGTCTGTGTTTATCAATCAATCAATTTGTTCATCTACACCCTTCAGGTAATGGATTAAAGTCTACATGATATTCAAAATAACAATAAAAAAGATAGGTTGCCAGGCAACAAAACATACGCTCACAGCAGCTAAGTCCTCCGAGCAGTCAACAAGGGTTGTCCCATATTTTTTCTTTTGTCAGTAATTAAAACATTTACTACACTCTAAATTCTGATTACAAGTAACAACCCATTAAGTAATTATCAGAAGGAATTTTGTTGCCAGACGGACACAACGACAATATATGACCACATTTCAATGTGGGCGTATAAAAATCCAAATCACTTTTGTAGCAAGGGTTATTTTATAATTTTGTGTAAATTGTGATGATTAAAACATACAAGTAAAAATATATGTGTTAGAAAAATGTTACTAAAGCTTTAAGCAGTGACAAGCATCAGACACATTCAAACAGGTACAAATTTCACACAATCTGATTAAAATACAGATCTATATTTCGTTTCGTTTTTTTATACTTTCGATGGCCTACACTACATGAAGTTTTGACCGGTTGTAGTGGAAGGTCGTGTTAAGGGTCATACGAGTGGCTTTTGACCCTATGACGTCAGACTGTGATTAATCAATCATCGTTAACGTTTCTAGTGGCTTACCCACAGTTCCGTGCACCGCATGCCAAGAACTCGCCGTAACAGATCGTTTTATTGGCTAATCCCTCACATCAACCAGAAGGCAGATTATATAATAACTCTTCCAGATCCTAGTGTTGTGAAGTAAAACGAAATTTTGAACTATAATAACCGAAACAAAATAGAGAGAGAGAGAGAAATGGGGTTTAACGTCCACTCGACACAACTAGGTCATTTCGGGACTAACATATGGTTTATTTTTATTTCAATAATTCGCTTGCGCATAGGGGTCTTTAGCAGTGGGAGGAAACCGGAGGACCCGGAGAAAACCCACGAGGTTGGACAGGCGACCCTACTCCTTGTCACGTACAACCGGGGATTCGAAACCACGCCAGTCGACTCAATGACAGACTTTATGATACAGCGAGGTGCTAACCATTCGGAAATCCAACCCCCCTGAAACAAAATAGGATCTGTGTTTTAATCAGATTGAATTTCACATTGCATAACATTTCTAGGGGCTTTCTACATCTGTATTTCGTTATATTAAAGCAAGAAGGAAATATTCATTAATAATTACTTTTAATTTAAAGTCCATCTCAACATATATGTGGCATACAAATCCTCAAATAAATTGGAACACATTTTCTTAGACATAAAATCATGAACTCCTGAACTTACTGTTAGCAGTGCATTAAATATGATCCTGCATGTAAGCCTAGTTATCCTAACATCTGATATCACTTCCAGGTTATATGGGAAGTTCACATGTCTTGCTTACTTATCCTAACATCTGATATCACTTCTAGGTTATGTGGGAAGTTCACATAGCTTGCCTAGTTATCCGAACATCTGATATCACTTCTAGGTTATGTGGGAAGTTCACATAGCTTGCCTAGTTATCCTAACATCTGATATCACTTCCAGGTTATATGGGAAGTTCACATAGCTTGCTTACTTATCCTAACATCTGATATCACTTCTAGGTTATGTGGGAAGTGCACATACTTTTGTATATAAATATTATCATTATGGATTTCAACAACGTTTTAAAAATATATTAAAATTATTTATACAGAACTATACTAACACCTAGGAAAATTATATGTTCAACATCCCACTCTAAGATCTGGGCAAATGAAATTAAATGAGTTAAACGACCTACTCTAAGACCTAGTTATGATATCCATTCAATTAATTATATCATGAATAAAAGAATATTACTATTTACTAACTGAAACAATCATTGATTATTCTATACAAATTTTATAAATGCATTAGTTCTCTGGCAAACAGCCAATACATTATGTTTGGTTTAATGTTCGAAAGCAAGACTTTAAGTAATGCCCGAATGTTGTTTCATTATATTAGGCAGTCTTGCTTGAAACCATTAAACAACTTAATATACAGACACTATCCCAGACATGCATTTCAATGAAATTGTCCAATATTTCATCTAATGTAAGTAATGTGCGATTGGCATGTTGCCAGTACCTTTATTTTATATAATTTGACCTTTTGTATTTGGAAATGACCTCCTGACCCGACCCGACCTGACCTCAAGCGGCCTGAATATAGCCAACAGCTATAATATCACCTCATGATATCACTATGTGTAAGACATCAGTAGGGATAAAAAGTCAAATTTATAGGTATGGGCGTGTCAGGAGTTGCTTATAGCAATGGCAATGCATAGCAGCTGATCAGTTTGGGCTGCAGTTAGACTAGGTCACATTACTTAAATTGGTAAATTCAATGAAAAAACATACTGATTTATTGGTAAAATAAAATATTGCTGAAACACATGATGTGGATATAAAGTTGATTTCTGGGTCTAGTTCATGTTTTTTATAACAAAATTGGAATGATATTGACTCCCAGTGTTTTTTAAAAGAAAATAATAAATAAACCGGTATCCCTCTCCCAACAAAATTACTAATAAATAATTTCTATTCATAATAAATATAATGAAAAAATAGAAAAATAATCTCTCAAATCAATCTGTTACAGGTAAATCATTGCACGCAGTGTTAGTTATCTGCCCTTGGGACACCTGTTCTTCTTGTGTTGAGGAGTTAGTATCAAGGGGAGTAACTTGTTGGGGAAGAAGCGGAGAAGGGAGATTTAGGTTTTTTGTATCCTCTGTCTCATCCAGATCAACTTTTGTTTTTCTTGGCTTTATTTTAAGCGGATTATTTTCAACTACTCTGTGGATTTCACGGATAAAATCATCTTTGAATTCCACCATGTCTTGTTGAAGTTGGAGGGTTTCTGCCATCATTTTTTCTTGTCTTGTTCTCATATCGGACAGTGAACGTAAATTCTCATGCATTAAACGTAGTCCTTCACACATATACTGATTGTCATTAGACGGAGTTAACTCCCCTGACATGTATCGATCGTATTCTTGTTGAGATAAACTCAGTGATTCAGCTGTTAGATTTTGTATAAAGTTGACAACACAACACTGTAAGTAGAAATATGATAAAAACAATGATAATTCAGGAGCATGTTCAGGAATTAGAGTGGGGGAGAGACAATGTAAAGTTTGGCGTGAGATCTGGGAGATATACGATAATTTTATAAATTAAGAAGCTCAAAGACACTTTTTCTGCTTATTTAGGTGCAAGAGAGAGAGAGAAATGGGGTTTAAAGTCCACTCATCACAAACTAGGTCATTTTGGGACTAACATATGGTTCAATTTTATTTCAATATTAGGCCACACAACTCCCCCACCCGCCCAACATTCTGGCTCTCAAATGAAATGAAATGAAATGGGGTTTAACGTCCTACTGTTCTGCTCCTATACTGGGCTAATGAAGACGGGCATACGCCATACAGTGTGCTATGAGGGGAATTTTGCCCGGGTTCTCAAGCAATCACACAAGACACAGTGATGAAGAAGGACAGTTTCTTAAGCATGATCATTTTCTAGAATTTTTCAACAGAGAAAACTTGAGATCACTTTCGACCATGGACTACAGATCTACTTACAGTACTGTAATTGCAATTCCATAGACCTGACTGTGTCCACCCTGTCCACAAAGCGACCATTTAATAGAGAGAGAGAGAGAGAGATTACCACCACCACACAAGCTAGGTCACTTTGGGACTAACATATGGTTCAATTTTATTTCAGTAATTCAAAACCGGATGACCCAGAGAAAACCCACATGGTTGGACAGGCAACCCTACTCTTTATCACATCCAAGCGGGGAATTGAAACCACGCCACTTGACTCAATTACAGACCTTATTCGTTACACCATCCAACCTACAGCAGCCATTTAAGAACAGGTACCAAAAAAGCAAAAAATCTAAAGTATTACGTACCAGATTAGTGAAATAATATCCAGCCTCTCCACTCATTAATCTACTGGGATTAGCAAAGCGTGTTATATACTGTATATTGGACTGTAATAACGGAGGATTAGCCTTCAATACAATATAGATTAATGCTGGTAGGAACTCATCAGCACTAGCAGGACCTTGTTTCGTTTGACGTAACGCCTCAAATATATGTTTACTGCACTTGACTACACTATCCAGTTTATCTTGGGTGGCTCGTTTAGAATCAAGTTCTATAATATCTAAAATAAAAACAAAACTTAGGTTTTAGTACGAGGGAAAACGGCGCCACTGTTCAATTTTATAACATCACAAGTAAGCTATTTCAACTTTTGAAATATTTTTAAAAGCAGAAATGTTGTTAATTTGTTGGATATGATTTTCAAGTACTTATACAGTTTTATTAATTTCACATTCACTTCTTTTGAAATAGGAGTATCAAACTTTAAGTGTTCCGTGCGGGCCTCAAGAGAGGGGGGTGTAGCCGAAGCGCCGCCCTGGGGCCCATAAGAGTCTATGGGGCCCATGAATATCAAAGTTCAAAATTGAAATGGGCAATTATGCATGAATTTTTGTATTGTTCCTTTGAAGCTCATACAAGTATGTACAAAAGTTTTCGCTTCATCGCAATCTGCTAGTGAATCATCTAGATATGACTAGTATTGGAAAGAAGCGGGTGCAGGGAGGCAATAAAGGTCTCGCCCCGGCAAATTTTTCTCCTCTCAAGGGCCCTGGTCCTGCAGCACAACACAAAATATTTTCTTTATTATTCGATCTCATTAGAAAGATAATTGAATGAACACACTTCTCATCGGTAAGAAGTGCAATGTTTGGGTTTTAAAATGTGTCTTTATTATTACCAACTGCCAGGGGATCTTTTACCTTAAGTTCAATGTGTACACTGGTGATCCTCAAGTCTTTCATTCTACGTGAATGATGAGGAACTAATTCCTTGTCAGCCTCCCTAACATAAAACGGCTGCGCTTGAAAAAAATCTGCAGGTTCTTCTCATCCCTATCCAAGACTTAAACTTAAACCCAAGACATACTAGTTTGGAGTCTAGTGCTCTGATTGCTAAAATACCACGTCCCGGCCCCGTATGAAAGTCAACATCCCTGGGATTATAAAAAAATCCTGAAGATCCTTCTCAGCCCATGCCTAACTCAGGTCATTCTAGTGCGTCGACCACACGCCTACTATGTCCAACCCCGACAACAGCTCAGGTCATTCTAGTGCACCGAACACTATGCCTCAACCCCAATGACAGCTCAGGTCATTCTAGTGCCCTGACCACTTGCCTACTATGCCTCAACCCCGACGACAGCTCGGGTCATCCTAGTGCGGCTACCACTAGCCTACTACATGTATGCCTCAACCCCGAAGACAGCTCAGGTCATTCTAGTGCACCGAACACTATGCCTCAACCCCATTGACAGCTCAGGTCCTTCTAGTGCCCTGACCACTTGCCTACTATGCCTCAACCCAAACCCCTACGACAGTTCAGGTCTTTCTAGTGCTCCGACCATTCGCCTACTATGCCTCAACCTTGACGACAGCTCAGGTCATTCTAGTGCGGCGACCATTCACCTACTATGCCTCAACCCCGACGACAGCTAAGGTCATTCTAGTGCGCCGACCACTCGCCTACTATGCCTAAACCCCAACCCTGAGAATAACTCAACTCTATATAAAAAATATAAGTATTATTAATGAATTTATATACCTGTTATAGCTTTATCTACCTCAAGTCGTATATCAGGATCATTCTCATTAATTAATGCTTCGAGTTGTTGGGCCGTCACCCAATGTAAACTACGTATCTTAGCTTGCAGCTCCAGGTCTCGTTCTTCATCATTAATTGTAGGCGGACAGAAAATGTAGCGGTATAATCGGGTTAATATATATCTCTCTGTATAATCCATTACCTTCTCAATAGTTTCATGACTTAGACCTGTTGACAACATAAAAATAATATATCATGACATAAACATGTCGTCAACATAACATAATATACCTGTCGACAACATAACATAATATACCATGACTTAAACCTGTCGTCAACATAACATAATATATCATGACTTAAACATGTCGACAAGATAAAATGGACAAAATTTAATATCACGATTTAAAATGAAATGAACTGAGGTTTAAAGGAAATTTTTGCCCCGACAGCGACAATATGGCCTACTCTGATTTCGAATTCCAACTGTCTAGAGTTCTTTTACATGCTGGGGGGTTGGATGGCTGAATGATTAGCAATTGCGCATTTTATCATAAGGTCTGTCTCATTGAGTTGACTGGCGTGGTTTCGATTCCTCGGTTATACATGACAAGGAGTAAGGTCGCCTGTCCAACCTCGTGAGCTCAAGACCCCTACGTGCAAACGAATTGTTGAAATAAAATTGAACCATGTGTTACTCCCGAAATGACCTAGTTTGTGTCAAGTGGACTATAAACTCTCTCTCTCTCTCTCTCTCTCTCTCTCTCTCTCTCTCACACACACACACACCAGCACACCCATGTGTATGCGGGACCTGATTTTTTGGTATCATCCGCCAGCTAGACAATGTTCCTGGCTCCACTGACAAGACGAAATCATGCTGAAAATCCTGATGTGCATTGTCAGCCAACACTGGTATAGAACCCATGGGACCTCCTAGTTAGTGAGCCAGTACTTTAATCACTGAGGTACCTAGAGAACAAACAACATGTAGCATTCAGATAGGGGTATAATAATTATAAACTGAAGTATTAATTAACTGACCTTTAAAGAGAGATGCAGAGAGAAGTTTATCATTTAGAGATTGATAAAAATCCTGAACCAGATTTGAAACTTCAATAACGTCTTCATATGGGGGCACTTTCTCTATGAAAGTTCGAACATTTTTGGATATTTCCAGTGCAGCAGGTTTACGGAGGGTTTTCAGAAACTCCATAAATTCATGTCCAATTTTCTGACTTTCTATACTCGATCTACGAGTTTCTTTCTTTATAGTAGTTGATTGATCTGAATCTGAAAAATATCAAATATTGAAAACATATGAAGGGAATTAACTCTTCCATCTACTTCTATTATCTCCCCTTACACCATAAAAGACAAGCCTAAAATTTCATAATGACCTAAATTCTATATTAACAGTTTAAAATCAAAATGTTTTGAAAACTTAGGCAGTAAGATTATTTTGCGCTTGATTCATGTAAATAATGACTACCCCATTTCCCTGAAAAATATTACAAGAAGTGATCCTTTTGTAGCTCGGTGTCAAAACCTGCCGAAACTACTGCTCCCTAGTAACCATTCCACAGCAATTGACGGAATGACACAGCGATTTGAGTTTGTCTAGGGAGCAGTACTTTCAGACAGAACAACTAGTAAGGTTTAAGGCTGATTAATAATGTATGGTCGTTCAGATGGGACGGAAAACTGGGGTTCCATGTACACATTGGCATACACATGTACATGTAAAAGTTTCTTTGGCAGTTGGAATTCAATATATTATAGAGTATGCTTTAGTGCCGCTGTCCGGACACAATTTCCCTTATATCACACTGTATATGCCCATCTTCATTAGCCCATTTCTTTAAGACACCGGGACAATGCATCATATTCTCATTGGTGTTTTAAAATATAAGCCAAATGCAATGAAAGGCAGATTTTTTTTTATGTGTTAAACAGGAAGAATTTATTTTTTTACAGTTCTTCCATCTAGGAAGAAATTACGTAAAGTAGTGTATTCTATTTTTCGTAAAAGTTGCTCTTAAACCCTACATGTTGTAACTTTGAACACAATGTGTAAACTTCAACATATTTATAGCAGGTATGAGGTTTTAGTCAAACTAGGTGGGTTGTATCATAAGGTCTGTCATTGAGTCAACTGGCATACTTTCGATACCCTGGTTGTACGTGACAAGGTGTAGGGTCACCTGTCCAACCTTGTGGGTTTTCTCTGGGTCCTCGGCATACGTAACTAACATACGAAAATTAATTGGTGGCTAGCTTTTTTTTTCGCACTTATACAGTGAATGGCCATTTTGCTCAGTAATCCCAGCCAGAATTTGGCTATTTTCTAAATTTGCGTTAAAGTTTAAAATATTTGTTTTAGAACTGAAACACATTAACTATTAGTCAATCCCAACGCTAAAAACATCAACAGAATTGATTGTGTATATCTGAAATAGACCCGACCGACGCACAAAATAGTGCAATATGGCGGCCTCTATGAACAACCCTCGCAGAGGCTGTCATTGAAGACAACGTCAATTCTATGAGTTGTAGATGTTATTTTTGTGAAAAATCATTGGAAGAAAAGAGAACATGTTGGGACTGTACGAATTATATAGTCTTTATGGGTGCAACGGACACAATGCTGAAGATAAACCTATTGTTTACAATGTTGACCTCTTGACCCATTGACGCCAATGTCATGATCTGTGATGTGTAGATCACGTGATATGGATATCATGGCTACTGACTGTGTCTGAGATACTTCTCCGCAGGTAGCGTGTCTCAGATGTTCAGAATGGGTCCTCGGGTTTCCTCCCACTGCTAAAGACCCCTTCCTGCAAGCGAATTATTGAAATAAAATTGAAAAATGTTAGTCCCGAAATTGCCTAGTACATGTTGTATGTGTCCAGTGGATGTCAAACCCCATTTCTCTCTCTTTTTAGTCAAACTGAAATGAGGCTTTATGTCCTACTCTTCTGTACTAACAGAGCTAATTAATAAGGGCATGGGGGGGATTTTGCCTGGACAGCGGCCTACTTTTATTTCCATTTCAAACTGTCAGTAGGGACCTCGTTTTTTTTCGTTCCATTCATACAAGCAAACAGTTTCGTTTTTCAGTCCTGAACATCCCGAATTGACAGAATTGCAGTCGAGTGGTGTGAAATCAAGTCCTGTCACAGTTCTGTCAGTCCCGACAACGGAGGTGGTGTGAGTAGAATCGTGACGTAATTGACCAAACGCATTTGTTTTAGCTGTGATGGTTGGTTGAGATATTTTGTTATGCAGTCGACGTATGCGTTGTATTCTGAACTCCTCCTTTTCATTTGAATGTTAATATTTTGGGGATTGAGAGAATTATATTCAGGAACATCCCATCTTCTGACAGGTGACAGTGACAATATTTACCTTTTGCTGTTGTTTTACGGAAAATGGCTTTTACTGTATTTGCTCTTTTGTTACTTTGTTGAGTTTTCTTCTCAGCAAATTTACTAAACGATGTTGGTAAATCTACTTTCCTGAAAGACAAATATTAGAATATTACCTAAAAAATTAATTAAAATACAAGTAAAGATGAATCATGTAAAAGCTAAATCCACACAATGCAAGTCTTTCTTTGGCCACAAATGTTATATAAACTATTAATTAGACATTTATTTACATAAGCCCATAATCCCATTAGACCACACAACAACCCAACCCAACAAGAAACAGTTTCCCATAAAAATTGTGTTCTGTTATTAAGAAACAGAAAGAAGAAACCTCTAATAAAATTGTGTGTGATAAAACCATATGAAAATGTAACATTTAGTAAGTTAGAAAAAAAAATATTAATAATAAATGTAGCAAATCAAATTTTCATATAAAAAGAGTAAAACAATAAATCAATATTATTGTCCTAAACCTACAGATGTATACAATGTATATGTAGAGACGTTCAGTAATCATTACAGATGTTCTGTTCAAGTCTGTTGAGCATAACCAATTGACTGATAGTTGAATATATTAATAATACAGTCAATAGTTCGAAAATTATCTTAATTGAAATATATAAATCTGGATTCATTAATGGGAGTCGGTGCATCTCTTTTACACATGGTCACATGTCATTTCAAGCTAATTTGCCAGAGTGAGAGAGAGAGAAATGAGGTTTAACGTCCACGTGATTCCAACTAGGTCATGGCTCAATTTTATTTCAATAATTCACTTGTACGCAGGGGTCTTTAGCAGTGGAAGGAAACCGGAGGACCCGGAAAAAACCCAAGAGGTTGGACAACGAGGGAATCAAAACCACGCCAGGTGACCCAATAACAGATCTTATGATACAGCGCGCACGTGCTAACCATTCGACCATCCAACCCCCCTAATTTGCCAGAGCGGTTTGCATTGTTACTTAAAAGTATCAAAGTGTCACTGCTAGGAATTTTCTTGTAAATAATTCTAGGAGTAGGATTTTTTACACAATGCCTTTGCCTTTTTCGACTGTGATGCCCTGATACATACATATATGGTTTCATTACAGAACTGACCAGCATTTCTTTTTTAAAACGTTTTACCTTTATTTCTAAACTAGAAGAATGCCCGGCTTCGCTCGGGGGTCATAACCCCGGAAGTGGTAGACTAACGCCACCTGGCCTATGTTACTCCCTGGTCCGAGCTACCCCTATGCCCCAAATTTCAGACTCGGGGCAGACCTAGTGTAGCCGCCAACCCCGAACAGACAGACAAACAGACAGACAAACGACAGTCACAAATATTAGTATAGAAGATAGATATGAATTTTGTTACAATATGTTACATATCGCTACTTTATATTGTATTTATTGAATGAATTTTGAAAATTGATTATGACTACCAATGGCTTTTATTGTTGTATAACAATAACATACATGTAAGGGCATACAAAAAAATATTACGGTTCTCAGACAATCATTCCGAAAAATCTGATACAGGAGTGATTTTTTTGTTTTCGTGTTTTTATCTTATTAAAGATCAATACTGGGCTAAATGACGTCTCATACATTACGTTTCAAGGCACTGCATGTATCTTATGTTAAGGAAGTTATGAATATCCAGTTTCGAGGCACCAAAAGTGTCTTATCATTTTATTGAATGTTTGATTATCCAGTTTCAAGGCACCACATGTATCTTATCATGTTATTCAATGTTTGATTATCCAGTTTCAAGGCACCACATTGTATCTAATCATGTTATTGAAGTTATGATTATCCAGTTTCAAGGCACCACATGTATCTTATTATGTTATTGAAGTTATGATTATCCAGTTTCAAGGCACCACATGTATCTTATCATGTTATTGAATGTTTGATTATCCAGTTTCAAGGCACCACATGTATCTTATCATGTTATTGAATGTATGATTATCCAGTTTCAAGGCACCACATGTATCTTATCATGTTATTGAATGTATGATTATCCAGTTTCAAGGCACCACATGTATCTTATGTTATTGAATTTATGATTATCCAGTTTCATTTACGATTGTCAATAACATTGATTAGGGTTGCATATTTAATAATTGATCCTACATTATATTTCCAGACTCATGTGTTAATTACTATGTGTGGTAATTACTATTACCGTTTTTATTTTTCAAAATAAAAACATGTTATGCAGCTCTTCTTAAGTAAAGTATCTCAAAACCAGAAATTTGTTTATATAGTCTAAGTCTAAGCTTAATTTGTTCAAATCAAAATGAGATCTATTTCTTGTAACAAACATTTTAATAAATTTAAACTCATAGCATCGCTTCAAGAGAAAATATCTGAAAACTCACTTTTTTGCTTCTTGCCGATGTGCATCATGCTGCATTTGGGCTTGACGAGCACTCTGATAGACTTCCCTGTAACATTTAGAACAGAATCCTTGCCAAGCAGGATTACCAAAGAAACCACAACCATTTTTACAGAGCAGATCATTTTCATGTAATTGGATCTTTTTTCCCTTCTTGTCATCTTTGGTCTCCTTGCTGGGATTTTCTGCTGAGCTCATCATGATGTTAGCTTCAAATATAAATGCATGTTGTGAATGATTATTTGAAATCAAAATGTCAATACTGTGTGTTGAGATTAAACAAATCTAAAAGTTTACCAGTACTGAATGGGCTATACTATATACCGGAAAACACCGGAAAACAACCGGAAAACTACCAGAAAACACCATGTTATACTGAATACTGGAAAACACCGGAAAACCACTAAATACCAGAAAACACACTAAATACCGAAAACCACCCTAAAAAGGTAACCCGGAGAAGGGCTATACCATAAACCGGAAACTAACCCTAACCCTAACCCAGGCACACAGAGGACCAGGCTCCCAGTTACCTATTTAGGGTGCCAGTCTCCGGGTTACCTATTTAGGGTATTTTCCGGTATTTACTGCGTTTTCCTGTATTTAGTGTTTTTCCGGTGTTTTCCGGTATTCAGTATAAAATGGTGTTTTCCGGTATATAGTATTGCCGATGAAATTTTAATGTGCATAAAGGGGTTTGATCATAAGATCTGTCATTGAGTCAAGTGGTGTGCTTTCGATTCACTGCTTGTGCATGGCAATGAGTAGGGTCACTTGTCCAACCTCATGGGTTTTTTCCAGGTCCTCCAGTTTCCTCCCACTCCTAAAGACCCTTATGCGCTAAGGAATTATTGAAATAAAATTAAACCAAATGTTAGTCCCAAAATGACCTATAATATATATCGGTTGTGTCGAGTGGACGTTAAATCCCATTTCTCTCTCCCCCTCTCTCTGAGTCTTTAAACTGCATTAAACTTGATTTTCGTATCCATCCCTCTGCCAACAACAATGATGACAGACACACCATGCAGTGTGTTATAGTAGAAGAACATTTTGTCCAGGCAGCTGTGGCACAGTCTATTCTTATTTCTGTTTAAACTGTCTGAGTATCTTTAATGTGTTGCCAATGGTACATATATTCACGACCAGGGCTGAGAGCAGTAAACTTATTAACTGTATATCAACGTATAGAAATGAAGTAATGTGGTAACAGTAACACTCTGTGCATAATCGGCTACAATATCATTATACAGACCCATGAATGGCCCTAATTTAAGCAAAATATCATTCAGAGACCACAGTGCCACTGTCTTTTTAGTTACATCTGCCGGATCGCACTTTTCAAGTCGAAATAACTTGGTTTCCTGTCTCTTAATCACGGATCAAGATCGAAGGCACCAAATCTGAATTGTTTTTAAATGTTTTCCCATCAAAATGCCACAAAAATCCTGGATTTGGAGTCCAGAATAAAAATAATGACCAAGAATAAGTTTTTTTTTTACTCAATGAAATAGGTTGGGTACAAAAATGACCATGTTTTAAGAGCTTTGATAATTAACTTATGTAAAAATTTTACTAAAATCTTACATTATAGTATTAGTAGAGACATTTTGAATATACTATTTAGGCCTATAGTCAATATACTTACATTATATGAAAACACGTTTCTAAGAAAATGTGTCAGATATTATAGGAGTAATCAGTATACATATGTAACATTTACAAAAAAGGTAAATATGAGTCGACATATATTTTAATTAATAGATTGTTTTACTCAAGAACAATATAAATATAGCACAGGTAAGACTATTATTATAGTATTAAAAAACGGAAATTAAATATGTTCAACATTATGTTTAACTTCTTTCACTCAATTGCACCCGATCTGTTATCAGCTGTTGTCCCTTTAAGTGCAGTCGTGGAGTAAGTTTTATGGTGGTGACATTTGGCTTTCCTTGTTTACAAAATCGAAACTCATTCCATTTCAATATCAAATTTCCTCGTTAACAACATCGACATATATGTTCGCTTATATAACATTATTAACGAGTCGTCTCTCAATATATTTCAGCAAAAGACAAGAACTAATATTAACTTATGCTATTATACTAACCTTTGGTCTAATATTTGAAATATTCTCTATAAAAATTTAATCAATTCATTGTCTTGTGATCAACACATCGTCCATCTCGACTCATGACCTTGATGTAGAGTTAGCTTGACTATTTTCGTATTTGACCCATTTGTTAAATAACGGGCTAAAATGGAAAATTTTGAATATTAGCAGACGTATTATTGCTTGAAGATTGAAATTAATAAAATATTGTATCATATTACAGCGTATTCAAGCAGATAACTGTTAACAATACAAATACGAAAATAATAATTATTGACAAAAGAAAAAGCTGTCTGCTAGAAGGGGGGCGTGGTTGAGTTGATGAAAGTGTCAACCTGACTTTTTACTGTGCATAGTAGTAGCCTACACAAAAAGACACTGACAGCGAGCTACTGACAACTGTTAAAATTTATGTGCCAGACAACTGTATGTTATTAGGTATATAAATATATAAATATTTATTGTTATTTTCATTGTGAAGATAAATAGCCTATTTCGTTCAAGTTATACTTGGGCAAGTTGGAGAAGTCAGGGACTAAACAGAGCCACACACACAACACTGTGACTTTAATTATTAGTAGCCTACTGTTTATTTCTAGTTCAATTACTAAATACCAGTGAAACTACTTCCTATAACATAAAGTAAAAACACTGATTGAGACTATTAAATTTACAGTACCCATGAAGTATTCTTTTTATAAAATTCTGTTCTGCCTATCTGTTTTTAAGATATATATGTTTCAGTTTTAAGATTTATAAGATCCCTAGCTGTGGTTGTAGGTTTTTCAGTTTTATTGATAAAAGATTTGTTTTTTATTTATCGATATGTTTTAATGTGGGTATATTTTATTTCCAGCAGCAATTGGTAACCTTAGTGTACATATGTAGTTTGATCTATACCCCAATTTATATATATCCTGAATAATCTAGTTTTTAAATGAACTACCGGGAGGCCTCTATCTTTTATGAAGAGACTTTTCCTTATTCATTTCCTTTGTTACATTTTTTTCATTATCTGTATTTATTTTTATAAATTATAAAGTACATTACATGAACAACCATGGGTGCAATACTACCATATTATCAATTATATAAAGTTGTAAATAAAAAATGTAGTAAGTACATTTTATGAACAACTGCAGGGTGACACCATTATCATATTATCAATTATACAAAGTTGTAAAAAAAAAATTAAACTAGAAGATGTAACCATCAAGGAGGTAATAAAGTGTTACTGTTGAATAGTGTTATTGTCAAATTCTGGACTCAAATATAAACTCTAAAATTTAATCTTTGAATTTTTAATACAAGAGAAGTTTAACATCCTACTGTTCTGCTCTGAACTAGGCTAATAAAGACGGGCATACCATACAGTGTACTATGAGGGAAATTTTGCCTGGCAGCAGCGCTACGGCTTACTCTTATGTCGAATTCCAACTGCCAAGGGATTTTTTATGTGCACGCCAATGTGTACACAGGACCTTGGTTTTCATCCCATCAGAACGACTAGACAGCTGTCCTTGTCAGGCCAAAAAATCTGGATGAACATTCTCGGCCAACGCAGGGATCAAACAACCAACCTCCAGGCTAGCAAGCAAGCGTCTTACCCACTTAGACACTGTGGCCCCTTAATCCAAGAGAACATCCAATTACATGTAATTAATAAGTTAATTAAAACAAGAGAATTCTACCATTAACTACTATAATTATATTGATATATTCCAAATCCTATAGCTACAGTAGACTGCATATTAATCAAAAGTAGGATGTTATACCTGATTCAATTTAATTAATTAATTAAAACAGGAAAAGTACAATAATAACTACCATAATTATTTGGATATACTGATAATACTACAGCTTTGTTCAGGGTTGGTTTCCACTGTTGGTCGAGAAAGTACCCGATTATGATATTCCTGCGTGATTGGCCCTTAATTGCGGGTGGTCAGGATATAAGGCTTGGTATGGATACTAAGGAACAGTATGTGTCTAGTCCTTCGGATGATGAAAAATACAAAAATTGCCCTGTTCAACACTCACTTACGGTATGGCTCTGACTATATAGAGACCTGGATTAAAGTGCCAAGAAGCGGGCGCGGTCTGCAAAATTAGGTCATAATTATTTCATTCGTTTCAATTTTAGTTGACCTGCACTAAATAAATCTTCTTTTTCAGGTAATTGGCAACTAGATAAAACCTGTATTTATACTCATAACCCATATAGATTAATATGGGTCAGCCTAGCATCTCTATATCAAGTATGATTCAATCCCCTGTTGGGTTACTAAGGCCAGGAATGTGGTTACCTGGAGTTCGAAATTTTCACTGCCACAAAGAAAGGTATGTACTGTGCAATGTTATTGAATGGGGTTTAATTAAAGAGGCTTAATTAAAGGTAATGCAGCTTATTGACCCCATTAATTACCTACAGTTGGCAATGATTTTGATTGACCTAATTTAAAATGGATTAAGAACCTTGAAAAAAATTAATACCTCTTCAATATAATAATTTGGTTATTTGGAACCTAACATATGGTAATTTATACTTCTATGGTTACGAGCATGCAATGTGAGCTTACAGAATTGTGACCAATCAGTGGTGTTCACGCTTAATAACTGTTTGTTGATTTCCAAATGTCACAAATATTTTTATGTGTGTGCCAATGTGTACACAGCTAGACTTTTATGGACCTTTTTGTTCCATCCAAACAACTGCCCACATGGTGTCAGCCTTGAACTTTGAAGACACCACCTCATACAAGTCAAGGTCAGGTTCGAAAAGTCCTGTCTTCTTGACAAATCGGCCCCGTTTGTCGCGACGCAGGAGCGCCATCACGTAGTGATCTCTAAAACTATTATGGCCACTTCCACCTTCATTTCTATCGGGTTTGGAGCTCAAAGTACGTCAATAAACTCGTTCTAACTTGACTGAATGAAAAATCTAACATACCTTTCGACTTTGTGGAATAACAATCTATAATTCTACTGATTTTTTTTTGAAAGTCTTATCGGATTCCTGAGAACAGATGTAGGCCTATTTTCTTCATGATCACCATCAAAACATTGAAGAATCCATTATGTCGTAAATTTTATGTTAATTAGATTGCCATTACTTAGATTTTCCTTTTTCTCACTGTTTTATTGTCGATTTGGGATGATACGAATATTTAGTATATATTAAAGACGTCTCTATTCATTTGACCTCATTTGACGTTTAAACCTATATAATGTACATGAATTTTAGGTACTATTTTTTTTTGCGGATGAATACAGCTGTTCTGTATTGTATTCTGTTGTAGACTGTTAAGATTTTGGATCCATGTGTCAACGCTTTAAATCACATGGATCCATTAAACCTTCTAACTGTTTAATTCCATTTTTTTCATTGAAGATTCTTATATTACAAATCTTTCCTTACACTAGAAACGTAATCACTGGGTCTAGATTTGAACCTACGACATTTAAATCAAGCAAGCCTGAAAATAAAAAGGGAGAAGAGAAAAATGCTGTTTAATGTCCATATAACATAAACTAGGCCATTTCAGGACTACCACATGGTTCAACTTTATTTAAAAAATTCACCTGCGCGTAAAGGAGTCTTTTAGCGGGAATAAAACCAGAGAAAACCCACGAGGTTGGACAGGCGACCCTACTCTTTGTCACGTACAAGCGGGGAATTGAAACCACGCCACTTGACTCAATGACAGACCTTGATTCCGTGCGCACACACATTAACTATTTGCCCCCCCCCCCCACCTGAAAATGATTCCTATAGTACATGGCAAAATGGCAGTCAGTCAAAGACAACTTTGTGATGTGTTATTAAATGTCAATAAAACAAACAGAAAATGCAGAAAATTTGTCAGGGGAACTATTTAAAGACTTGACCACTGAAAATTACCTCCAATGAGATAGGGACTGGGCCCTGTTTCTTGAAATCTTAACTAAAGATAAAATCCAAATTTTAGCAGATATACTGAACAATTCTGATTGGCTAAGCACTAAAATCAATCTAATATTATCCAATCAAATTACTAAAATTTGGTTTTTATCTTAGTTAAAATTTCGTGAAACAGGCCCCCAGATCATACTTTGGCTCAAAGGGTGATAGTACTGTATGCATCATGAATGATTAATTGCTAGTTGTGTGCATTTCTGATACACTAGATCTGTTCCCCATTTTCAGTCCTGCTTTCCAAGTAGGACATTTTAACCCCATTTCATTGTGTAATTTTAGTTGGTTATGTGATGCCAGTGAGAAAGACAGAATAACAGCTGTGTTAGAAAGTTTAAAACGAGTAAAACAAGATGATGATACTGGTTCCTTCTATGATATTCACAAGGCAAGTCAAACACAAAAACAGTATTATAGCACTGTGAAATCTTGCTGTTAAAGATGCAATATGTAAGATTTAGATAGAGAGCCGACAGCTCTCGCTATATGGTAATAGACAATGGAAAGGAATACATGTATATTGAAAATTTGAGTCAAATTACTTTATTCTGAGCAAAGTTATCAGTGTTTGAAATTATGATAAGAATAATGAAGTCTCAATTTTCATTGTCCATTTTTAAATCAAATTATTAAATGGCAATCAGGTTTCAATCCATTTAAAATCATGACCATTCGATGGTCTAGAGCGTTGATTATGGGCTTGTCATGTGAACAAATGTATAATTAATAATTTGCATAATGAAAGACCTGCAAAGGGCAGATTTAGCTCTTCGTACTGGTAATGTGTCTCTAAGATCATTTGCGAGACTAATTTTAATTGGTTTTAGTTTAGATTCTTTAATAGTGGAGCTGTCTTAATACTGAGAGAGAAATGGGGTTTAATGTCCACTCAACACAAAGTAGATCATTTTGGGACTAACATATGTTTCAATATTATTTCAATAATTCACTTGCCCGAAGGGGGCCTTTAGCAGGGGGAGGATATCAGAGAACCAGCAGAAAACCCATATAGGTTGGACAGGCAACCCTACTCCTTGTCACGTACAAACAGGGAATCGAAATCACACCACTTGACTCAATGACAGACCTTATGGTTTCAAGCACAGGCATTAACCATTCGGCCACCAAAACCGCAGTCTCCACACAACTGACATCATTGTGTAACATATTTATTTCTTCCGAGTTTGGTTTAAATTTTACTTTTTTCTATTTACAGGTTACTGATAACTTTATAAGAATATTTGTATTTACGTTCGCGGAATGGTTGGATATTATTGAAATTGAAATGAAACCCAATATAACGCATGTAAGTTAAGAAATACCCATATAATGCATGTAAGTTAAGAAATGAAACTCCATAAAACACATGTAAGTTAAGAAATGAAACTCCATAAAACACATGTGAGTTAAGAAATGAAACACCATAAAACACATGTGAGTTAAGAAATACCCATATAACACGTGCAAGTTAAGAAATACCCATATAACACATGAAGTTAAGAAATACCCATATAACACATGGAAGTTAACAGGTGTAAGTTAAGAAATGAAACTCCATAAAACACATGTAAGTTAAGAAATGAAACACCATAAAACATATGTGAGTTAAGAAATACCCATATAACACATGCAAGTTAAGAAATACCCATATAACACATGAAGTTAAGAAATTCCCATATAACATGGAAGTTAACAGGTGTAAGTTAAGAAATGAAACTCCATAAAACACATGTAAGTTAAGAAATGAAAATCCATAACACATTTGAGTTAAGAAATGAAGCCCCTTATAACACATGGAAGTTAAGAAATCAAACCCCATATAACACATGGAAGTTAAGAAACAAAAAAACAAAAAAGGTACGGTATAACTGTTAAAACTAACATTTTACGTGTCTATTCCGACTGGGCTAATGAAGACATGGCATGCGCCAGAAAGTGTGCTATAAGTCAGATTTTGCCCAGACAGATTGGCTACGACCTACTCTTATTTCGATTTCCAACAGTCAGGGGATCCTTAACATGCTGCCACTGGTAATGGTATACACAGGCCAGGATTTCACCCCAGTCCTCCATCTTGCACCACTGACAGGGAAATGAAAGGAAATGGGCTTTAATTATATAATTAACGTCTTACTGTTATGCTCCAACTGACAAGGGGGAAACCTGAGCAACCCTATTTGTAGGTGAGCCAGCACCTTACTCAGACACCATGGCTCCCATGGTAGTTAAGAAATCTGTTCCACAGGTCTATGGTGTTCTAAATGGAAGTTAAAAGTCCTGATGCGCCATTTGCATCTTTGCTAAATTATCAAATTTCTCATGGCTTAATACACGCAAAGTATGTACTCAAATTGATTGTTTAAAGTCATGTAATTAGGAAAATAACATCAAATACCAATGCTTGGATTGGATTTAAACTAGGCCCAACAATAAAAGATGATATCTTGCTATGCTCAAGCAGCATAGATGAATGAAATTTGTAAAAATAAAATGGAATTTAACCTTTTGTGCATTGTTATTCCTATTAGAGATTCAACTTTCACAATATTGTAGTTTGTAATGGATTAATATACGGCTATCAACTGGCGTGATTTCGATTCCCCGGTTGTATGTGCAAGGGATTCATCATATAGCACTAAAAGGACTTTTAAGACCAAACTGAGCATCATAGGCCTGTCGGAGAAACCTTTTCTGCTCTTATAGGTCCCAAATAATATTTCTTACATTTTTTTTTATCATTTTGTTTGTAAATTCCTGTCTGAAATTCAGCTGTATACAGTGTTACAATTGGCTTTATGTATGTAAATATATACATTACAGGTTACAGCATTCTCCTCCGGTTTTCTACCATTGTGTATTCCATTTGCCTGTGTTATCAATCTGGTGAGTTCAAAGCTCGAAATTCAAGGATGGGTAAAATTATAAATTTTTTCCAAGAGTTCATGTTATTGTAAGATACTACTTCCCATTCTATTGATTTTCTCCTGTGTCAAGTCGACCGACTGTTACTATATTTTGAAAAATTTGCTCACAGGAAATAAAATTAAATGGGGTTTATAATCCTAAGTTCTTTGCTCGAACCAGGCCAATAAAGACTTTGAGGGAACTTTTGCCTAGTCTTCATCGAATTCCAACTGTCCTTTTATGTTTACACCAACCGTGAATACAGAACCCCATTTTTTTTCTTTTTATCATATCCAAACGACTTAAACACTGTTCCTCGACAGGCCCACATTCATGCACCACCCAGGAACTCCTAGTTAGCAAGACACAAGGGAAGTAAGAAATCTGTTACTTCTACGTCAGTGTCTTGTAATAAACGTGATAGGGAAAAGGGTCTTCTGTAACGGTGTTTATATACATGTACATCTAAGTTACTACCAAGCAACTTACTTTTTTCCCATTTTTTTTTTTAAGAGGCCACGGTGGCTAAGTGGGTAAGACTGGCTCGCTAACCTGGAGGTCGCGTGTTCGATGCCTGCATTGGCCGAGAAAGTTCATCAGGATTTTCCGGCGTGGTTTCCCCTTGTCAGTGGTGCTGGACGGAAGGCCGGACAAGGACAGCTGTTTAGTCATTCGGATGGTACAAAAAACTAAGGTCCCATGTATACATTGGAATGCACATAAAAGATCCCTTGGTAGTTGGAATTCGATATAAGAGTAGGCTGTAGTGCCACTAACCGGGCAAAATTTCACTCATAGCACACTGCATGGCGCACGCCCCTCTTCATTAACCCAATCGGAGCAGAACAGTAGGACATTAAACCCCATTTCATTTCCATTTTTTTTGTATTTCAGGCCCTTTTTTGGATACCATTTTCAGACATGGGACTAAATAAACGAAGAGTTGATGCATTAAAAGAAAGAATTAGTCTTCAAATTCAAGTAACCAATGTAAATTAACTGTTACGGACAGGAAAATCTAACAATTACCCTGGACCTACTGATTTAGGAAGCGTTGGACTCAATGCCTACACTGATCAATTTGAATTTCAGGCATTTAAGAAAAGAATGTGATCACTGATGGATTTTTCAGCTTTTAAAATTTGTTCATTTTTTATTCAAATATTATATATTTAAATCATTATTTTCAAAATGTGTAAATCACTATTTTCAAAATATGTATATCAGGGATCAAAGGCGTATTTTTTTTCATCGCATGAGCCATGAAGATTAACATTGTGTACAAATTTCAAGTTAAGTGTAGGCCTATGTAGCCTGGTCTAGTGCATACAAAAGATGATTACAGTCATCAAGGGCAGCAGTGCTGAAAATGATAATCAAAAAAAATAGAAAATCAATAGGCTGCCTCATGAATATAAACATTGTGCATTAATTTAAAGATACATTATGGGAGATTAGATAAAGAGCCGACAGTTCTCGCTATAATAGTTAAAAACTAGATAATGTAAAGGTAATTTGTTGAAAATTTCAGTCAAATTGATCCACTATGAACCGAGATATCAGCTTTGGAAATTTGCGCATAGCTCGTTCACCTTTCCTATAGTTAGTACGTTAAATAGCATAGTCTTGATTATCCATTGTTTTGATTTAATTATCAATGAGCGTTAGCAGCATATAGGATTCTAATCCAGTCGATATCGAAGGCTAGCCTTGACATCGAGAGTTGATTATGGTCTTGATAAGTTAATTAATGTCTAATTAATAATTTAGATAACATTTTAGGCCTAAATAAAGACCTGCGATAGGCAGATTTAGCTCTTGCATAATGCATGTTTAATGATAACTTGAATTTTTAGAACTTCAAAAGGACAATACGACAATATATCACATATGTGCATATAATCATTAAAACATGATTATAAAACACTTAATGATATGAAATGGGGTTTAACATCCTACTTTTCTGCACCAAATAATAAGATGGGTATGTGCCATGCCATATGAAATCTTGGACCTCCTGGCTAGTGAGCCAGCAAAAAAAACACTTTTTTCTACAAGTTGATCCTAAGCAATTCTAAGTTCGGCTATCCACAATGGACATCTAAAGTTCACTTGATTTCATACCTCCATCTTTATTGTCTTAGAAGCGTCTGATGATGAATGAAGGATACTAATTTCTGTCTATGAACATCAATATCAAGATGGTATCTAGAAACACAACATAGTCCATAAATCTAAATAATATAGATGCATTATTTTTTTTAAAAATACTCTTTATTTATATATTTCATTGCAGCAAGATAAACTTCAGATAATTTTTATTTCATGGTAATTTTTATTATTTTTAAAAATACTCTTTATATTTATATTTAAACCCACCAGTTGTGTTTGTATAATTCTAATATTATTGTAAATTTATAATTATTTTTTTTTACATAAATTGTGAATTATTTGCTCAATAAATTTTGTTATTAAATGTTAAAAGCATTGATTCACTATTCTCAATATAGATCAACCAGTAAGCAACGCACCCATTGGATTGAAATACATATAGGGGCTGCTGTCAGTGTAGCAATGCTAAAATAGGGTGCCAGGGGCTCTTCCCTGTGACAATTTTTTTAAGAGAGAGAGAGAGAGAAATGGGGTTTAAAGTCCACTCGACACAAACTAATTAACTAATTCATTTGCACTTAGAGGTCTTTAGCATTGGGAAGGTCCCGGAGAAAACCCACGAAGTTGGACAGGCGACCCTACTCCTTGTCACGTACAAACAGGGAATCGAAACCAGACCATTGACAGACCTTATGATACAGCGCGAACGTGGTAATCATTCGGCCATCTACCCCTGCACAATTTTTAAGCTAATGAACTCATTTGCACATTATTGGGGGAGGGGGGGCTGAAGAATCCCCAGCCCCAAGTTCTGAAGAACCCGGAGCACATAGAATCGTCAACTTTAACTTTTCTATGATAAAATATCATTCACCTATTCTATTGTTCTGAGAGATACAAAATTTTCATTCTGCAACCATTTTCTTCAGTGTGCCAACATTGAGATTTTGTGTAGGCTAACACATAGTCTATCATGAGTATTCATGACTCGCACCAGAAATAGAATGACACAATGTTTGGGAAATATCCCCCCCTTTTCTTCGCAGATTGTTTCCCTTATTGTGGTTTTGTTTTAGTCAGGTGTTTATGCATTGCAGTCTTTATGCTTTTACTGTAAGGGATCGAATCCAGAATCATTGTTATGGTTAAATATATTAATACAAATTGAGTGTCTTGTTACAATATTCAATATAATCGACATGATTATAAACACAAAACATAATATGGAACACAATTACTATTTTAATTAAAGCAACGATTCATTGAGGGTTTTATCAGTGTTATATTTTTGAGCTTATTACGGTCATTTTTATTTCAATAAATCGCTTGTGGTAGGCGACCCTCCTACTCCTTGCCACATACAACCGGGGAATCGAATCCATGCAAGTGGACTCAATGACAGACCTTACGATACAGCGCGCACATGCTAACCATCCAGCCCCCCTGTTAATTCAAATGCCTCTCCAAGAAGATATATTTGAAAGTAGATCAAAATTAATACCAAAGAAATATATATATATTAGTATAACAACCATTCTTTCTTTTCTGGAACTGTAGCATTACAACCTTTCTAAATAAAATGATTTTGAGAATATCGTTAAAGACGTAATAATTTAGGACAGCTTGAGTGGCCATATTGTAGTTCGTTTCTTTCCATTTCTAATTCTTGTTCCCATTTGTTTTGCTACTAATTTGTTCTTGCACATTGCTAAACCAGACCTGTGAACGTGAGAGAGAGAAATGATGTATCATTCATCAAACACAAAGTAGAACATGAAGGGAGAGAGAGAGAGAGAAATGGGGTTTAACGTCCACTCGACACAAACTAGGTCATTCTAGGACTAACACATGGTTCAATGTCATTTCAATAATTCCAATAGGGGTCTTTAGCAGTGGGAGGACCCGGAGAAAACCCACAAGGTTGGACAGGTGACTTTACTCCTTGTCACGTACAACCAGGGAATCGAAACCCCGCCAGTTTACTCAATGACATACCGTATGATACAACGTGCAAGTGCTAACCATTCGTAATTCAATATAGGGAGCCACGAATGCCCACGATGGCTCAGTGATTAAGACACTGGCTTGCTAGTCTGGAGGTTTACCCTCGGTGTTAGCAGGGAAAGTTCACCATGATTTTCCAGCATGGTTAATCCCCCCCCCCTCCTTGTCTGTGGTGCAGGACGGAGGGCCCGGCAAGGACAGCTGTCTAGTCATTTGGATGGGACCAAAAAAAAGAGGTCCTGAGTACACATTGGTGTGCACCTAACAGATCCCTTGCCTGTTGGAATGCAATATACAGACAGTGTAAGCCGTAGTGCCGCTGTTGCCTTTGGCCTTTGGGGCAAAATTTCCTTCATAGTCATACATTGGGATTAGGTCAGTTGAAGCACAACAGTAGGATGTTAAACCTAATTTCATTTAATTCAAATATCACTATATTTACTACCGTCTTTCGCCAAATAGCCCCGCGAGTAAACCCCACTCAACTATCAAATTAATCATTGCAATTTGAATTGCCAATTGAATTAATATTGCATCATATTCATAATATTATTCATTTAATCATTGCATTGCAATTTTTTCTGCGGGTACAAAACTTTTAAAAAACAATAAACGAGTTTGACGACGTCGTGTTGATTGAAAATATAATTGCTCAGAATAATATTAATCAAAATCTTCAGAAAATTATCAAGACGAAGTCTTCATGTCCTAAAAAAAAAAGTTCAGCTGAAAACAAAACTTTGATGTTCCCGCCCTGCATTCTGCGCACGACCTTCACCTTACCACTTCCGCCGACACAATTACTATGAATTGCGCATGCGTATTAACAAAGGTCCCGGATAAACGCATGCGCAGTTATGGTGTCCGACATTTTTGCGCCAAGTTTTCTAGATTTCTTGCTTGGAAATCGAGAAAAAAATTAATTTCTTTAAAACCAAGTTTTATTTACAGTTCTGTCCATACTGGTAGAATAGTCCAGGATACTGTTCGTCGATTTCATCAAAGAAAGAAGTTGAAATTATATTTTTTGACCATTATAATCGTCCTGGAAGTTGCCCTAGCGAAGACATTTTCGTTCTGTGTCGATGAAAGAATGAATTTTCTCGAGTGACAGATCGAAAATTATAAATTTGGAAGTTTTTATGGGCTAAATAATATTCCAAATCAATAATGGCAACGGTGGAGTATGATTTGGATCATAGTGGAGGCCTTATGGAGGTAAACGTTTGATAGAAATACATTATTTTCAGCTGTTTATTTTTATGCAGAGTCGTTTTTTTTCTTTTGCCGTGGCTTTCACTCGAATTTCAGCCATGACAGTTCTCTTTCTTTGCCCCGTTTACTTTCCAATATATTTATTTTATTATGGTTGTATTTTGTAGCAAATTCAAAGCCTCGTAGCTCCCCCGATCAGCGATGATGGTGGAAGACGACGGCGTAGACGAGATAGAGCAAGAGAACACAGACGGCATGGACGAGCAGTGAATCATGATTGTTGTGACAGTTGCAAAGAAGGAGGCGATTTATTGTGCTGTGATCGCTGTCCAGCAGCATTTCACCTTCAGTGCCAGTGAGTTTTACATTTCCATCTATTTCATTTTACCATAACTTTTTTTTTTACACTGGCACAGCCTTTATTGTGCTTGTGTAACTTTATTTCTTTAGCTTCTTTGTGATTTCTTATGCAGCCATAACCAAGAAATTCAAAATGGCTGACAATGGTTTGCAGAATTTTCTTCACTTTTTGTGTCAGTTGCCATATTAACATAATCATCATGATGAAAATTTGCAGCAAGCGTCTCTAAGCCCTAGCGCTGTGTTGTGATCAGTTGTCATATTAATTTAAAAGTCTTTTGTAATATGTTTTTTTATGTTGCAGATCTGTCGTGGATGGCAAGTTAAATCAATAATTTTCAATTTTTTATTCGGACAGATTGGAGTGTAGAAGACAAATACAACTATAGCTAAAATGTTGGTTGGAATTTGTCAAAGATACTTTGTTTTTTTTTGTTATCAAATCACCATTGATCTGGTTTCTTGTTTATTTTTCTTCCTTATTATCTCCCCTGATATGTTACAGTATTACAATTAACAGTAGTATATGTTACATGCATCATATAATTAATATATTTTATATCTTTCATTTGAAATTCGATGTGAATTTTTTTAAAAACTTTTATTTTACAGTTATCAAACTCCTTCGACCTGTCCTGAGTTGTTTTTCATTTTGAAAATGAATCATTTTTGTGATCCAGCTTTTTTCAGGTTTCAACCTTAGACTGACTGTACAACGCTACCAGGCAAACACACTTGAATTGAATGGAAGCTAATTGAATGAAATTTATAGAATACAATTAATTATTCGGCTCAGAGGTTCTTTGGATTAACTTGTACGTTGTATACAAGTAGATCAATTTTGTTAAATCAGTTTTAATTACGTAAGCAGATGTAGATTATGTTTTGTTCAGCAGGAAAATGGCTTCAAATAGACATAATTGTATGGTCACTTTTGATGCATTGTAACATTATCAAAAAGCTGAATGTGGTCGGAAATTTGCTACTAAACTCCATTTGATTTCTATTTGATTTGATTCTATAAAGTCGTTTAATGTCTTGCATTTGACATGTTTCTGCAGTTTATTTGTAGCATTTTTTTTCTCTTTGTTAGCCGAATTTGTCACCTATGTCAGATATTCTGTTCATGAAGTATGCCCAAGAAAACAATCAATCTTAAGGATTTAAATGGTTAAATGTAAATTGTTAGGGACATGGTATAATTCTTATCGTATAAAGCGCATTTTGGACTGGAGAAATATGATTTAAAAATCTTTTCGGTATTTCTGAGAGTCCTTGACTCTATTTTTAAAAAATGTCAAATTATGCATAAAATGCTTATGTATTTCGCCCTAAAAAAAATTTGTTTTTAGGGTTCACAAAAATGCAAAATATAGTGGATTTAATAACTGAGATTAACTACATACATGTACAAAACCCAGATGGTCATTCTGCAGTCCTGCACACAGAGATCTCTTCCCGGAATGGCCACCATATCTAAAAATTAATATTGTAATGTGGTTCTACTCTGTTTCACATTTGTCATATTATACAAAAAGACAAAATAAGCTTTTTTCTATTTTTATTAAATTGCTAAGTATACATGTACTAAATGGTTTTGACTAAAATCGTCAGTTTTGGAATTGATATGTCGGTCAACTACATGTAGCTTAGTGTCTGTTCTCAAGCGGAGCTAATTGTAGACAGCGCAAGTTTAGTATGCCAGATGATGTCACAGTCGTTGTTTTTTGTATTTTATAGGAGATCCGAAAAAAGCTCCCCTTAATGAACAAATTGAAAAAATCGCTCCCCTAAAAAACCTCTCCCAGTTTCGATAAGAAGAGTGATTTAGAAATTAAGGAGAATGATCTGAAATTAAGGAGAGTGATTAGTTGTTTGTATTGGAAATGGTTCTGAAGATCAGTAACTGCGTGTAAGGGGTCATTCTTGGTTACATATAAATGATAATAAACATCGTCTGCTAAATAATAGCACTCGTAGTCGTACGGTCAAGTCAAACTTCTACTGTCGCCTATAACTACAGTACATACTGTATTCCAATAGAAATACTTGTCGATATTTCTAAATATATAGAGCTTGTATAAATTTTGTTTAAAAACATAACCCCTATTCAAAATATTATCATAAACGCTTGAAAATTCCATCAAAATATAATGTATTTCTTCCAGAATTATTCTCATTGGAAATTTTCACGTGCCATCTTTTCATTTCAGTTAAATTAACCAATGGTGCATAGGCGCCATCTATTTTTAGCAACATATTCATCAGAATTTTATTACCTTGTGCGATCACATTATACTAATCGAATGCACCAAATAAATGTTCACAATGACAGGATGGTGCCGCTTGGAATGTGAGTCTTTCACACCCTTTTGAAAAAAACAAAACAAATACATGTCCATGATTTACAAATATGGAGAGCGATTTTCAATTTTAAGGCGCGGGAGAAAAACCTCCCCTCGGTCGACATTCGGGTGCGCGACAGACGCTAGAGAGTGATCGCGCGCCTCAAAAAACAATGACTGCTGACAGTCATTGTCATTAGTAACATCATTGGTTTCTATTGGTTATTGAATGAATTGGGTTTAACATCCAACTTTTCTGCACTTTCTGGGTTAGTAAAGATTGTTATTGAATCTGTATTATATTATGAGTTAGGACAATGAACACTTACTGGACTGAAAATAGAGAAATCATTTCTGTTTTTTTTTTCTTTAATTTGTAAATTGCGTGTTTAGCGGTTTGACAAAAAGAGAGATGACATTTTCATGAATTTGTACTATATTGATTTAGCATTTAAATAACAGCTCAACCTAAGACTGCACTATATTTAAATAACAGCTTTCCCTGTAATAATAGACTGCACTACATGTACATATAAATTTCTATCAGAAGAGTTCATTTGTAGTTGACATCAGGGGTGATTAGGTAGAACAGGTTTACACTTTTAACACTTTAACTGCTTAAGGGCAAAACATGTAGGCTATATATTAACTGTAGTAAACTGTTAAAGATAATTCTGGTATTTTCTTTTTGCATTTTTTTTCCAGTTTTAACATGTTTCGAAAATTGAACATTCTTTTATGTGTAGATTATGACCTTGCCCTTTAAAAAACATGTAAAGAAACTGTAATACAAATAAAATAAAAACAACGAAACTCAATACTGCGATTATTGACATAAATGAGATACAGAGTACAATACCGTGGGTGAGCTGTACTTTCAAAGCATCATTTGCATTCTTTGGAAAAAATTTAATTTTTCACAGCTTTTCAACACTAAGCTGAACTCAAATTGATTATTTACCAGTAAATCAACGATAGATAATCCCCCAGTTTGGATTTATTCAGATTAGATGAGAAACATACAATGATTACAACAAAAACATAGATGGTGCTGGTTTGTTTATGTCACCTAAAGAATGTTACAAAATTTTTAATTCATCTTATCGTAAATACTGAAAAGATTTGAACCATTATGGGCCGATATTCATTTTTAGAGATTTAGCTTTCACAATAATTTATAGTAGTTAGCAAGGTATTAAAAATCCATCCAATGACAATCATAGATTTTAAGGCAAGCTATTGAGATGCTTATTTTTAGTTTTAAAGAAAATATATATTTCCTGATATTTTATACTTATCAGTGATCTACATGTAGAATGACATTTGAATAATAAAAAAAAAACCAACAATAAAAATACCAAAGGTTTGATTGATAATGGTTTAATTATTCTACAACATAAATGATTTAAATCAATACATTTTTTTGTTTTCAAAACATACGTTAAGAAATAACTCTTTCGTCATAGACGAAAGAGTTAGCAATACACGTGTAATAGATATTAAATCCCAATAAATATGAAGTAATATGTGTAAGAATACCTTGCCTCATACATACATGACAACCTTGTAGGTTTCCTCCCACTGCTAAAAGACCCCTAACTGCAGGCAAATTATTGAAATAAAATTGAACCATGTTACTCCCAAAACTGCAGGCAAATTATTGAAATATAATTGAACCATGTTAGTCCCGAAATGACCTAACTTGTGTCGTGTGGACGTTAACTCACTCTCTCTCTCTCTCTCTCTCTCTCATGACACCTATACTTTTTTGACAGATTTAGTTTTCGTCCTGGACAATCCTGAAAATAAGGCACTCTATTACAAGACAAGTTCAGGCTTTGCCATGCATAAAACCTCTGGTTCTGCCTGTCAATTTGTATTGCACTGATTTGTCTTTTTTATTGATATTTTTAATACATGTAATGTACAGCTAAAACCAATATTTCCTGGCCTGGTCCTTGATGTACATTGAATGTTAAGCTGTTGAGGTATCCAAATTACGGATTGAACTTAAAATAGAGCTTAGTCAATGAACATGTTTTGAGGGATTGTTAATCCCCTTGCAAACTTTATTTACACAGTGCAATTGATAAAGCTCTTTTGAATCTGATTAAATCTAATCTGGGGAGATTATTTAACACTCAATATCATCCAAAGTTTTCAACGCAAATTAATTGTCAATTTAAATCAATATTGATGTTGTGGTCTTACCTGGAAAAGATGCGCTTCTGATATCCAATATTTAAGACAAAATAAACATTTTACCATTGGTACACCAATTGTGTACCATAATGCATTTCAGCGCCATTTTTAACAAGGAATTCGAAGAACGAGGCTAGACATATGTGATGCCATATTCTTATCTGGAGAGCATGGGCAATAAATACTATCGGTGTAGGCTGGAATAACCAGGCACTAGAGATAGCCATTCTATTGAGACTTCTGGCATAAATCGCCAAACATAACTGATTTAAAATTAGAGTAAAAATGGAAACGATTGGATGTAAATCAGTTTATATATACATTCATATTACATTGTTATATAGGTTGCGACCCAAATATTACCGATTTAGCTTCTTTAACTTTAAGGTTACAATTTCATATTTTCTAAGAAAGTCAAAACATAATTATTTTTATGTCTTTTGCTCAATAGGTTGTCAACTCACTATTGTACGATCATAGGTTATCTTTATCACACTTAAAAATCTTCACACCGGAAATAATAACACAATTACTCCCCAATTACCTCCCCTGTTTTCATATTCCCAACAATAGAATAGCTATCTTCAAACATTTGAATTTGAAGTTGAAAATTATATAGTGAATATAATAGTGAATTATACTAATTATAGGATTACTTTTTAACATGGTAGGAATGTTTATAGATACCATCTGTTCTAGGGCTTTATTTTAATACATTTTGAAAATATAACTTAAAAATATGAAATTGTAACTTTAAGCCATGATACATGTATGTTTTCTGAAAACTGTGAATGGTGATAATAGGGTATAAGAAAAGATTTTGTGAAATCTGATAGTACAAATCTGCTTACATTTGTTGGATTTATTTCCATTATTTAGTTGGCATTTCCCACCTGTTAAGAGTTTTCAACATAATTATTAACATAAAAAATGAGACAGCCTTGCTTTATCAGTGTTATTCATGGAATAAACATTGTTCTACTACAAAATTATTTTCTCGGCTCACACAAATTGGATTTGGCTAGTACCCACGGATTATAGATTATTTTTTTTACAGGCTATTGTGTTTTTAACCAAGCAGATAGAAAACAATTTAATTTGTTTTTCACATGATTCAGATTTTTGATTATGGAAGAATACCAATTCAGACATGTACCCTAGAATATATTTCCATTAGGTTAATGGATTTGAAGATGGAAAAAAGTGTGTGACATTAAGTAATGAACCTCTCTTTGTTTACAGATAGAGGGATCCAGTAGTGTTTAAAAGTAGTTTAAACAATCTCCTGGCCATGGATATATGTTCTATAAATAAAATATTCTTTATTAATTCAGTTTTATATTTTATCTGGAAATATCTGTACAATGTGAGACATTAAGTAAAGAACCTCTTTGTTTACAGATAGAAGGATCCAGTAGTGTTTAATCAACTTTCTTACTATGGAACTTTACCGATTGAGTTATATATTTTATCAGGAAATATGGAAATGTCTGTACAATGTATTGTGGGGTTTTTTTCTTTCTGATTCCCCCTTCCCCAACCATCGTAGTGTTTGATGTCTGGTCAACAGGAATGTACATTGTACACTGAATTTTTGTGTTATTTTTTATGACTCCTTTATTGTATATTTTCAGTGATCCACCATTAGATGAAGATGATCTGCCACCTGGTGAGTGGTTATGTCACAGATGCCGTGTTACACCAGAGGTGAATATAATGAACATTAAACTACAAACATTTATCATTACCTCATATAAAACTGAAATTGGAAATTATGTCCTACAAAAATAAATGCCAATTTAGAATTATGAAGATTCATGTACAGTAAAACAAGAAATGTATATGTATTAATATTAAATGAAACTGTCAAGACTGGTTTCCAGCTCTCTGAATGTTGTTAAAATTCATAAATGATGAAATATTGAAAATACTACCGTTTTAAACAGTTATTTTAGTTAAACCTGAGTTTATCAATAATTTTAACTATTATTTATAGACTAAAGATGATGAAACTGCCTCAAATTGTTCAACAACATCCTCAAAATCATCCAAATCATCCACCAAAAATCGTTTAAAACGTCAATTATCCGATGAAGAGAAAGACAGACCTATATTTACAGAGTTGGAACATCCATTGATTTCATTGGCTAAAGCTGCTAAATTAATGAATCCTATTCAGTTTGATTTACCAAAAGACATAGCTTGTACCATACCTTTACCAGGTAAAATTCTATTCAAATAGCTTGTACCATACCTTTACCAGGTAAAATTCTATTCAAATAGCTTGTTTGTTGTGATCTGTGTCAAATATAAAATTTAGAATCATACGTCCATAAACCTGTCGGAGCAGAAGAGCGGAACGTTAAACTTCATTTCATTTCTACATCCATAAATAAATAAAGCCAGTATTGAGATGTGATTATGATCAGGTGTTCCTTTGTCATCACATTATGCTTGAAATGAAACTGAAACTAGTTGAATTACTTCTGTTTAGCCTTCCCAAAACGAACATCCAGAACTTCAACCATCATTAATTGAAATAACATCTATCTATATATATATTTGTGACTGTCGTCTGTCTGTCTGTCTGTTCGGGGTTGGCGGCTACACTAGGTCTGCCCCGAGTCTGAAATTTGGGGTATAGGGGTAGCTCGGACCGGGGAGTAACATAGGCCAGGTGGCGTTAGTCTACCACTTCCGGTTTCGGAGTTATGACCCCCAAGCGAAGCCGGTCTGTTCGGGGTTGGCGGCTACACTAGGTCTGCCCCGAGTCTGAAATTTGGGGTATAGGGGTAGCTCGGACCGGGGAGTAACATAGGCCAGGTGGCGTTAGTCTACCACTTCCAGTTTCGGAGTTATGACCCCCGAGCGAAGCCGGGTATCCTGCTAGTATCTGATAAACCAGTTAAATACTTTATATATTATGACCTAAATTGAAGAGATTTGGCTCTTTTGAACTGAAATTTAAGATAGCCATTTGTATTTTGTTTTGTCTCATTTGACCTAAAACTGTCCAAACGAAGGAATCTGCTGAAATGGTGTATTTTAAATGGTATACCTGTATATTTGTTGAACTATATCTTTGAATTATTGACGGATATTTTTCAGGTTCAAGTAAAAGAAGAGTGCCGACAAGAGGTCCACAGAAAAAAGCTCCACATGAATTAGATAATGGAATGGTTCCATTACCTGCCAAGTTATGTTTTACCTGTAGTAGGTGGGTTTTAATAATACTTTTACAGTACATTAGGACCCCACTATAGTTTATTTGCTGTAAGATCTGATCCAGTGGTATAGATTGACAGCCTTGTATTATAGCACTAGCCCCATGCATCTGACAAGGTGTAGGATTGCCTAAACATGTGGGTTTTCCCCTCAGATCTCGAGTTTTTCCTCAATGCTAAATCTCCCTGCATACAAGTGAATTACCGACAAGGTATATCAGTTTGTGTTGTGAAAGTACCAGAATATCAGTCATTTATTGGCCATAGTGTATAAATTATTATTATTTATTAAAGATGGAATATTTTTTTTTTTCAGGAGTTGTCGTGTAGCTCCCTTACTTCAGTGTGATTTTTGTCCGCTCTTATTTCACATGGATTGTTTACATCCACCTATGACATCATACCCATCTGGTCGGTGGATGTGTCCGAATCATATAGAAAATATAACTGTAAGTTTGACGTTAAATTATTATTTCACTGTTAATTCTAAATTTCTGGGGAACATGGTACTGTAATGGTCCGGGCAGGGGATGTTCAACTAGAATCCCATCATGAACCAAGAAGAATCTTAGATTTGTTTAGCCTGTCCGGCTATAACTTGTCAGGGTTGTTGCATCTAGTTGTTCGGGTGGAATGGAAAACTGAGACACACTCATTTACACATTGGTGTGTGTATGTAAAAGAACCCTTGAATGTTGAAAAACTGGACAGGGCAAAATTTTGTTACCTTCCACTGCACAATAGTAATAAAAAGAAATGACCACATGTTAGTCCATTCTCAGTATCCCCAGTAGTATTGTTCAACTAACCTCTGGCTGCATCTCCAGGTTAAATCCTCCCATCTCTCTCTCTCTCTCTCTCCCTCCCTCTCTCTGTATCCAGTTCAGTTGGTACACGAAAAACACTGGAATCTCATATAAATCTCATATAATCATTAGAAGTATGCCTGTTATTTTGAATGGAAACTTATAATTTAAAATCATATAATCTGTCTGATGATACTAGGAACTCTCTCTCTCTCTCTCTCTCTCTCTCTCTCTCTCTCTCTCTCTCCCTCCCCTGCATTGGCCGAGAAAATTCATCTGGATTTTCCAACATGGTTTCCCCTTGTCAGTGGTGCAGAACGGAGGGCCTGACAAGGACAGCTGTCTAGTCCTTCGGATGAGACGAAAAACCGAGGTCCCGTGTATACATTAGAATGCACGTAAAAGATCCCTTGGCAGTTGGAATTTGATATAAGAGTAGGCGATAGTGCCGCTGCCCGAGCAAAATTTCCCTCATAGCACACTGTATGGCGTATGCCCGTCTTCATTGGCCCAGTATAAAATACAATCTGTCTGGTGATACTAGGAATATTATCTTGCAGTTATAATATTTGTATATTTAAGGATGAGAAGTTATTAAAGTCAGTAAGTTTGGTAGAAAGAATCAAACTATGGGATAAATACTCCGGTCACGTCGATCAACATACGGTCAAAGTTAAATTCTTACAGAAAACACATCAAAAACATCCTCTCTTTCGAATCAAACATCAGCATCCATTACGTAAAACCATAACAGTAAGTATAGATTCTTGTATTGTCATGATGGCTTGTTGCTAGGACTGAACGTTACTTCTATTATTTATTATGGAAATCATGAAGAGTGGATCTTTTCTCTTTGGTCTTGAGTTGATCCCAAAACAAAGGAGAGTTCTCTCCCTTTTCCCCATACTGCAAGCAGAAAAAAATAATTGAAGTATGCTGCTTGTTCACCAACCAGAAGGTCTCCAGTCAGATCCCTGTCTTGACAGAGAAGTTTGCCAGGGTGGGGAGCGCCTGACAATGAAGAGTGTCTAATCATTCGGATGAGGTGATAAACCAAAGACTTGTGTATGCCAAAGAACACTAGATCGGAGACAGTTTAGCGTATATGACATCATGTGGAGTGTGGGTTAGGGTAAGAGTTGGGGCTGCAGATTTTGTCACGGTCTCGAGATGTAAACAGGGCTAGTGCTAACCCTAACCTAGAACTAGCCCTAAACCTTAGCCTAACCCTAACCCACAATCCACCACATATGTCATTTGTGCTAGATGGTCTTCGATCTAGCATTCTCCATGTATGCCATTGGCAGCATTTTAAGGATCCACTGACAGTTGAAATTTGAAATAAGAGTAGGCAGTAGTGCAAGCGTTCCCCATTAGCACAATCCTTGGCATAATGTCCGTCTACACTGACCCGGTTTATGCAGAAACGACCTAGTTACAAAATAGTGACCTGCCTGTAGCCAAGAATGTATATTTAACAAATAAAAATGATTTTATTTCTAGGTACCTCAGTCAATAAAAGATCACTACAACAATCCTCCACCTCTTCTTCCTACCCCTCGTGGTATAACAGAGCCAAATCCAGATCCCTCCCACCCCCCGATACCATCAACTACTGAAGGGATACAGGCAGCTACGCTAGAAGAACAAGAAGAGGTAGGTTATATAAGAAAACATGGCTGTCAATAAGTGGGAGTCATGGTGGCTCAGAAAGCAAGACACTCCCTCACTAACCAGAGCCACTGTGGCTCTGGAGGTCCTGTGTTATATTCCTGCTTTCGATGAGAAAGTTCATTTGAATTTTCTGGTGTGATTCCTCCTTGTCAGTGGTTCCGGACCGAGGGACAAAAAAAAAAACTGAGGTCCTGGGTACACATTGGCTTACGTGTTAAAGATCCCTTGGCAGTTGGAATTTGATATCGGAGTAGGCCGTAGCGCCGCTGTCAGGGCAAAATTTCACTCATAGCACACTGTATGGCATATGCCTGTCATCATTAGCCGAGTCGAAGCAGAACAGTAGGACATTAAAATTAAACCCTATTTCATTCCATTTTCATGGCTCACTAACCAGGATACTTCTGTTGGCTGAAAAGGTTCCTCAGGATTTTGCTGGATGTGTTCCCCTTGTCAGTGATGCAGAAAGGAGGACCTGGCAAGGAGAAAGAGCATCTAGTTGTTCTGGGTTCCTCTGGTTTCCTCCCACTGCTAAAGACTCCTACGCACAAGCAAATTATTGAAATAAAATGGAATCATGTGTCAATCCTGAAATGACCTAGTTTGTGTCATGTGGAAGTTAAACTCTCTCTCTCTCTCTCTCTCTCTCTCTCTCACCCACCCACCCCGTGAGTGGACTTAAAAATACATTATGGGAGATTCGATAATGAGTTGGCAGTTCTCACTATAATAGTTAAAAACTAGATAATGTCAAGGCAATTTCCAGAAAATTTCATTCAAATTGTTCTACTATGAATCGAGAACTAAACGATTGAAATTTCCGCCTAGCCTCGATCATGATTACTAAAGTCAGTACGATAAACAGCATAGTCTTGATTATCCATTTAATCGTGAAGGAAAGTTATGCAGTAAATCGGCTCATAATCCACTCAAGATCGCAGGCTAGCGATGCCATCTAGAGTTGATTGTGGTCTGGATAAGTTAATTAATGTCTAATTAATAATTTAGATAACATGCCTAAAGAAAGACCTGCAATAGACAGATTTAGCTCTTGCATAATGTATGATTAACACATACTATTGTATTTTTCAGTGGTTATCAGGAGTCGTATCATTACAGACTAGTATTGCCAAATTATTAGCACAAAAACAATTACAGAAATCTGGTGATAGCATGAAAACATCTGACACACCTTTATCAAAACCTACAGCATCTGTGGCCCCAGTCGTACAAAAAGACTCGGAAACAAGCGATCCTTTATTCAACTCGAAATCGTCAGACTTTACAGATTGTGAGCGTATTTTATTAAACGGTGCAACACAGTGTTTAACGGGAGGACAGGATAGTTTATTCAATGGACCTTTTGGAGCTGTGTCGTTATTAAATAATTCTAGTTCTGTAAATGGTGATATTGAAATGTCGTCTGCTAGTCCCCGAACTTCTAATAAAACGGATCCTGTGCTTATAAGAACTCGGAGTAATAGTGCCGATTCTCCACAGACTTTTGGTAAGGTCGCTAGTTCGAGCGATAGACCCACATCTTCTAGTGCTTTAACAATACCAGGCCCTCAAGGTAAAAACATTTTAATAAGTGCTGTTAAAAACAACAATACCGTTATGACTAAAGTTGTGCAAAATACTGGACAAGGTAAAGTTGTTTTACCCCCAAATTTTACATCAAAAAACATTAGTGGTAGTAATCCAACGTCTATATTATCACCACGGGGACAATCTGTTATAAAAATACCTCATCCCGGAGGTGGACGCGTTGCTTCAACAGGTTCATCAGGCAACTCGTCTCCTAAAGTCATCACTGTTAGTGCTTCATCATTAGGTATGTATAATCTACCATCTCTATATTCTTTTAAAAAAACAACTTAAATCACATTTATTTAATCAGGCTTTTAACTGACTCTGTATACAATCGTTAACATGTCCATAATCTTTTTGTTTATTTATGATTATATTGTCACTTTGTAAAGTGCCCCTAAACATGTTATGTGGAAGGGCGCACTATAAATATGATATAATAATTGGTACATTATGTATAGTTTACAAGGTATTTTAAACAAATAAATATTTATATGTTAGACACAATAGTCTAATAAAAATAGAGGTACAGTAGAAATAATAGTTTTATTTGTATGTGACAAAATGTCAGTCACTATTGAACTTGTATCTGACATATTTAATAAAGACAAACGGAGAAAAAGACTATGTACATGATAGAATCAGGCGGAGCCTAAATTTATGTTTGACAAATGTCACGGACATGTGCCTTTTTTCCAGACTTGATAATTGAACAATTCAAGATCAAATTGTGTGGAAGCTATTGTAGTGTTAAGAACAAAGGTTTTGGAAAGAGGGTCTGAATTTTTATGACAATTGTGTTTGAGTGTGAATAGTATATATGTATTATAATTTATTATTGTTATTTTGGGGAGTAAGACAAGTAGTGGTAACAGCAGTAGTATATGTATATATTGATATAAACATTTATTATTATAGGGAGTAAGACGAGTAGTGGGAACAGCAATAGTACAAGAACGATCAGTGGTACAACAGGCAGCTTAAACTCTCAACCCACGATAATTAATTTAAATAATAATTTACAACAATGTATTGATAGTAACTCAGGTAATATAATCTAATATATCCCATAGACTTGAAAAAAATCATTATAGTTGTAGAAAAATTATTTGGCATAGCAGAAGTTGTGCCGAACATATATTAAAGATGGGTTCCCAGAAAATATTTATCGGGTGGTTATTTCCAATAAAAGTATGGTAATTTTGGTATATATGGAAAGTAGAGATATCCAATCTTACTAAAAAAATACTCATGGAGCATATACAGGACAAAAATGTAAGGGTTCCCCTAATCAACAGCCTGACGATTAGGAACTTCTGCACGCGTAATGTCAAAGGTCACAAGCGAAAATTGATAAACTTTATGAAGAGTTAGACGTACAATACATTCTGAGATAAAAATGACGGAAAAAGACGCGGGTAGTGGATAATCCGAGAATTTAATTAGGATTCGATATTTTTAATAAATAGTAAGCGATTAAAGACAACATTGTCTTATGTATGCAATGAATTCTCCTCTGACTCCCAAGACGTGACGTTAACATGACCTGGTTTGGTCGAATTTTAATAGCAGGGCATTCCTTCGCAATTACAATGTTTGAGAAGGATTTGAAGCATAATTATGACAAATTAATTAGTTTGAATATGTTTTTGGTCCATATATAACATTAAATCACACAGTTTGTACGCAGGAACCCATCTTTAATATTATTAAAAAAAAAAGAAAAAAAAGACAAAATGACAAGACACTTGAGGAATAGTGCCTGACAAAATTTGTACTTTATTTCCAGACTAGGCAGAATGATGAACTGGAGATCTCAGTTGTACAATATGACCTAGGTGTTCTGGGTGGGGCAATATTCCCTCTTAGTAGTCAATGTGCGCAAAAATTGTAGTTGTGCAGATTTTATTCCTGTGACAATATGAAGCGTCCAAAACAGACTTTTGGACGAGAATGCTTGGCGCGAACAGAACAACGAGTGGGTTTAATTACAACTTCAAAATGATGTTTAATACAAATCATAATTACCAGTACAACAACTGACTTCCACTTTTCAGCCAAATTAAGGTCAAAGAAAGGGTACGATGGACTTGTATTTGTCCGGGGGGCCATTTCAGAAGGGCCTTGGTTCGATGCGACTCCCGATTGTTTTTACCTGAAATTGATTGTATAAAGCTTATACAATTTGCTACCAGATGGTGCCATTAACTGGGGTTCGTTGAGAAAGTGACTTAGATCGTTCTTCCCTGGGGCTCTTCATATGTGTTTCAAGATAATTTTGTGTATGTGGCTGTATCTTGAGAACCAGAATATATTTATAAATAGATTGATTTCTTTTGTGTAATTGTTGAGATTGATTTATTTTGTGAAATTGTTGCACCAGCACAGGTGGAATAGTACGAGGTGAAGATGTTAAATTATCAGAGCTCATTGACTATATAGAGGGTGGAACAAGAGTACCAGATTCAAAAATTATCTTTAAGTGTAATGTATATTTTCTTATTTTTTTAGCTAATGTTTTCTTGTTTGGTATTTTTCCTCTCCAGAATTTGAATTAAGTAAAATAGATGAGAAGTTAGTACAGATTTTAGCATGGCAAAGATTACAGCAACTTCTTGCACCTAAATCACCTCCACAACCTCTAAATAAAAAAGGCGTTTTAAACAATATACTCACGAATACAGGTAAATATAACTTCTTGTTAGGTATATAAATACAGGTAAATATAACCCCTTGTCAGGTATACTCATAAATGCAGGTAAATATAGCCCCATGCCAGGTATATTTGTAAATACAGGTAAATATAACCCTTAGTCTGGTATTGAACTTTTTAAAAACAAATACATGTATATAAATATAAATAAGGTAGAAAAAAAAAGTATTCATATATTTGAATTAAAGCCTCTTCTATTCACTTATCTAACATTTTAAAACCAATGAGGTAAAAAAAAAGAGGCAAGTATATGTAGCCCTACCTTACATTAAGACATTACATTATGTAATAATTAATAGACATTTATATAGCACCTAATCATCATAAGATGCTCTAAGCACTTTACAATCAAGATATCACATTGCTTGACATGTCGGGGGGGGGGGGGGGGGTTGGATGGCCGAATGGTTAGCACGTGCGAGCTGCGCTGTATCATACGGTCTGTCATTGAGTCAACTGGCGGGGTTTCGATTCCCTGGTTGTACATGACAAGGAGTAGGGTGGTCGCCTGTCCAATCTCGTGGGTTTTCTCCGGGAGCTCCGGTTTCCTCCCGCTGCTAAAGACCCCTACGCGCAAGTGAATTATTGAAATAAAATAAAACCATGTGTTAGTCCCAAAATGACCTAGTTTGTGTCGAGTGGACGTTAAACCCCATTTCTCTCTCTCTCTCTGCTTGACATGTCAATCATGATATATACATTTGATTACTGTTAATTGTATAAATGAGTTTTTAAATTCTTTTTAAACATGTCTACTTATTTGCTTGATCTAATGGTTTCTGGTAGCACATGCTGAGATGACCATCACCCTGAGTATACCTTCTACCTATTGATATTAAAATGTGATAAATATTAATTACAGGAAGAAATGAGGTTCGAGCTAGAGCTGTTTTATGTCCATTAACGGGTAAAGGTCAAGCTGTACCCATGTCATTCCGTTCTCTGAGTATAGGCACAGGTAATAATACCCTTTGATACATTTCAGGAGAGGAGTTGGTGCGGTCCAATGTGGTTTGCTTTATATCATTATGTCTGTCAAGGATTCGGGTCATCTGTCCAACCTCGTGGGTTTTCTCCGGGTCCTGCAGTTTCCTCACACTGCTAAAGATCCCTACGCGCAAGTGAATTATTGAAATAAAAAATTGAACTTTACGTTCTGGTTTGTGTCCAGTGGACATTAAACTCCATTTTTTTCTCTCTCTGTCATGGATTCAAGTTTTGACCAAGTCTTGTGCATTGAGTCACCTTCATTAAAGTTAGCTCTTTCTCCTGATCCTGCGGTTTTCTTGTGTCCAAGCAAATTATAGAAATAAAAGAAACACCATGTGTTATTGTTAAAATGACCCATTAAAGATTGTTTTGATGTTAAATCACATCGCTGTATACTGTTCAGATTTTGTTAGTACTTTGTTTGAAAAGTTGGACATTATTTGGTTGAATTATTCACCTATAATTTAGATTGATAAAAACTCTTAAATTATATATATAGCCTACGACCTCTGTTGTTAAACCTGTTAACAAATGACTTGTAACACTGACACCTGCTCAAAATGCTCGTTGTTATTGCACAGAAAACCCACCCCACTTATCAATATGATTTCTACTAAAACTAGCGTAAGACAGTAAAAGTGTGCAATAACATTTAAAATGTCTAGTTATTGCATGTTTAAGCCCCACCCAATCTATTAGCAGGAAAACAATCTGCTTATTCAATGAAAAGAACAAAGGAAGATTTTTCCGGCCATTTTACAATAAGTATTATATTATATTGAATTATTTATTTATATTTGTAGGTGCTGATATGGATGTCTGTTTAACAGAGTTTGGCTTCTGTAACTTTATTTCATCTAAACACGCCTGTATCTTCTATGATGAGGTAAAACATTTTCTTATCACATGTCGAGCGAAGTTACGGAGGATTATTGAAATGGGCTCCTTCCTGTTTTCTGGATCATATTTCATGAAACTTTGAACACATGTCAACCTATTATAGTAGTTTTGCCTTTTCCTAAATAAAATTTTCTCAGTTAAATAATTTTTGTGTTAAACAAATTTAACTTAATTTTTGGTATACAATTCTTATTCCAGAGCATGTCTCATAAACCGTTCAGGATATCTTTATGAATAATTTTTTGTTATGTAGTCAGTAATTCTGAAATATAACCTCTTGGTAGTTGGTAATTAAACTCAATTTATGTCCACTATAAACAGGATAACTGGGATGGGATATCTGCTATTATGTACACTATAAACAGTATAACTGGGATAGGATATCTGCTATACATGTACACTATAAACAGTATAACTGGGATGGGATACCTGCTATTATGTACACTATAAACAGTATAACTGGGATAGGATATCTGCTATACATGTACACAATAAACAGTATAACTGGGATGGGATACCTGCTATACGTTTACACTACCGATTAGTATCTGATTACAAACAGCACAGAAATTGGCCAAGTGTGCGGGATGTTGATGGCTAGGTTTTCTTGTTTTTTCTAAGAATGATTTCATAGTGTGTCGTTCTATGAATTGACACAGTTGAAGACTACTTTCTTCTGTGTTGATGGGTGTGTGACAGTGGTATGACATTAACCAGGAAGTCCTGGGTTTGATCTTTGTGCTGGCTGAGAAAGTTCCACAGGATTTTGCAGGCTGGTTTCCTGTTATTAGTGGTGTAGGGTAAATGGCATGGAAAGGTTCTAGTTCGATGGAGGATGTATCCGAAAAACTGAGGTCCCATGTATTTGGAAATTGAAATAATAGTTGACCATAGTGCTGCCATCTTGGCCTAATTACTGTCATAATGCACTGCAGGGTGTATGCCTGTCTTCATTACCCCTGTTGGTGCAAAAAAGTAAGACTTGAACTTCATTTCTCTCTTTGAGATTATTATATATTTTTAATTAAAAAAATTGTTGGAGGAGCGATAAATGTGTGCCTAGTAGTTTGGTAGAGGATGAAGAGCAAGGTCTGTGTGAGTGTGGGATAACTTTATTTAACTTCCTCTTCCACCGAGGTGATATTGCAGACAAGGTCTATACGTGTCCACTTAAAATACCCCTTGACCAAGGCGAGATGAAGGTCGAGATACTAATGCAGATTTCTTCCGTCTCACATTGCCCATTTATCGGTAAAAATAGATGACGAGACAATTTCTTATATTACAGATGACGCAGCATTATGAATTATTAAACTATAGTGAACATGGTACAACTGTTGATAACGTTCTTTATTCATGTGATTTCTCCGACAAACCATCAACCACACCACAACCTTCACCTGTCGTGGCAGCAGTTCGCGAGGTCATTGGAAAAGGTAAAAAGAAAAAACAGCAGCAACAAAAAGAGGCCAAAGAAAAAGTGGTTGAAGAGAAAGCTAAAATGTCGGCCAAAGCTACGTGTGAGGTAAATATTAAAATTTCTGCTAAAGCTACACTTACAATTCTGTTGGTAGAGTGTCTTAAATCTAACAAATATACACATTTTATATTTATGAAAATAAATGCACACATTTTGTATTAGTGTAAACAAAAAGGGCATGTTTTGTATTAATGTAAACAAAAACACTTTTTTGGTATTAATGTAAACAAATACACATGTTTGGTATTAACAAATATAAATACACGTTCTGTATGAACGAAAACAAATACACATGTTTTGTAGTAACAAAAACAAATAACCATTTTGTAGTAACGAAAACAGATATGCACGTTTTGTATGAATGAAGGGGGGAACTATAAAAAGTGGTATGGCCATAACCCTGAATATTTATTACTTACCAATACCCTGCTGAATCTGTCTTGTAATCAGTTTTAAGAACCTTAAAAATAAGCATATGTTAATCTCAAGAAAATCCAAATATGTGTATAAAATGTTAAATCTCATGTCTTGTCTACTTTCAGTTTCAGCGACCATGTGGTTGTAAGGTCAGTAGTTCCAGTTTAATAGGAGGTAGTGGTGCAGGCTGGGAAGGTACAGCTCTTTTACATCATGGCAGTTATATAAAAGTTGGTTGTTTACAGTTTGTATTCAGTGTTGTAGATCAAGCTACGGAAGCCATTACAGATAAACGAGAAACAATGTCATTATTAAAAACTCATCTCAAAGCAGCTCAGTGATATTCTCTGATATTTCACAGTACACATCATGCTTCGTTTTGTGCTCATCAATACGAGATATTCGACACAGTGAACTCCAGCTAATTATTGTCAACAATAAATAAAAGATTGTAAGATGTGTCGATAGCAAATAATCCCGCTGAGTTGTAAAGTGAAAGTAGCACAGAGTTGTAAAGTGAAAGTAGCAGATGTCCACCGGTGTTTAATACTTGTATTAAGATAAATGCAACATTGTTATAGATTATTGGATTGTTCAGATTTTTAAATGTTAAAGAATTTTGTCATATTTATGGTATACTACTTACTATATTTGTCTAATTTGTTATAAACTCGTTTGTAACTTTAAATGGCCGACCCCATTTACAAATCGTGTATTCTTCTATAAACATGTACTCCACTTGATTATTTAATATCAAAACAAAACCAGGGCCCTTATTCACGAAAACTTAAACTAAGATAAAATCGAAATTTTAAGAAATACTGCAATTTGATTGGCTGACCAATAAAATCAATTTGCATATATCCAATGAAGTTGCAGTATTTCTTAAAATTTCGGTTGTAACTTAATTTCAGTTTTCGTGAATAAGGGCCCTGATTGAAAATATCCCCATCAAAAGGGAGTTAGATCTATTTCAAAAGGCCACCTGCAGATTTCTCCAACCTATCTCGTAACCTATGACAAAATCTGCAGATGGCCTTGTGAAATAGTTCCAACCCCATCAACAGATTGAACCTAGCTCTTATAGGTGTTACTGGTTGTATCGTCCACTGAGGATTCCTAATGCTGAGAAATTTTCTATTCAACATGTCTTTTTACTGTACTGAATTGAACCTGCGGAAAATAATATTTTATATCATAACGTCGATGAATT